TCCCCACACCACAACACCACACAAACACACATTCCAGGATTTAACAAAATTAGATTCATATTCACATACACACACACACAAACACACAAACACTAACTCTAACCTACTGCTGAATACAAACACCACTGCCACTGTACATTTCTATGTGACTATATATCTCCCTCTCCCCTCTACCCGTCAACCCCCACATACATTTCTCCCTCCCCTTCTACCCCGCCCAACTCTACATACATGTCTATCCCCTCCCCCGCCCATTCCCACCCTTATGTATACCCCTCCCTCCACATGTCTCCCCCTCCCCCCCGCCCCCACACATGTCTACCTCCCACTCCCACATGTCTCCCCCTCCCCCCACATGTCCCCCGCCCCCACACAAGTCTACCTCCCACCCCTACATGTCTCCCCCTCCCCCCACATGCCCCCCTCCCCCGCCCCCACACAAGTCTACCTCCCACCCCTACATGTCTCCCCCTCTCCCCACATGTCTCCCCCTCCCCCCACATGCCCCCCTCCCCCGCCCCCACACAAGTCTACCTCCCACCCCTACACGTCTACCCCTCCCCCACATATCCACCCCCGACCAACCCCACATACACATACACCGCCTACGAAACTATTTTCCCAACTCCTGATGCACCTGTCGGCATATTTAAATTTTTTGGGGGGAAAAATAAAAGTAAGTAAAAAATAAAAGTAAGTAAAAATAAAAGTAAGTAAAAAATAAAAGTAAGTAAAAAATAAAAGTAAGTAAAAAATAAAAGTAAGTAAAACTAAAAAGTAAGTAAAAAATAAAAGTAAGTAAAAAATAAAAGTAAGTAAAAAATATAAGTAAGTAAAAAATAAAAGTAAGTAAAAAATAAAAGTAAGTAAAAAATAAAAGTAAGTAAAAAATAAATAAGTAAAAATAAAAGTAAGTAAAAAATAAAAGTAAGTAAAAAATAAAAGTAAGTAAAAAATAAAAGTAAGTAAAAAATAAAAGTAAGTAAAAAATTAAAGTAAGTAAAAAATTAAAGTAAGTAAAAAATAAAAGTAAGTAAAAAATAAAAGTAAGTAAAAAATAAAAGTAAGTAAAAAATAAAAGTAAGTAAAAAATAAAAGTAAGTAAAAAATAAAAGTAAGTAAGTAAGTAAAAAAAAAAGTAAGTAAAAAATAAAAGTAAGTAAAAAATAAAAGTAAGTAAAAAATAAAAGTAAGTAAAAAATAAAAGTAAGTAAAAAATAAAAGTAAGTAAAAAATAAAAGTAAGTAAAAAATAAAAGTAAGTAAAAAATAAAAGTAAGTAAAAAATAAAAGTAAGTAAAAAATAAAAGTAAGTAAAAAATAAAAGTAAGTAAAAAATAAAAGTAAGTAAAAAATAAAAGTAAGTAAAAAATAAAAGTAAGTAAAAAATTAAAGTAAGTAAAAAATAAAAGTAAGTAAAAAATAAAAGTAAGTAAAAAATAAAAGTAAGTAAAAAATAAAAGTAAGTAAAAAATAAAAGTAAGTAAAAAATAAAAGTAAGTAAAAAATAAAAGTAAGTAAAAAATAAAAGTAAGTAAAAAATAAAAGTAAGTAAAAAATTAAAGTAAGTAAAAAATAAAAGTAAGTAAAAAATAAAAGTAAGTAAAAAATAAAAGTAAGTAAAAAATTAAAGTAAGTAAAAAATAAAAGTAAGTAAAAAATTAAAGTAAGTAAAAAATAAAAGTAAGTAAAAAATAAAAGTAAGTAAAAAATAAAAGTAAGTAAAAAATAAAAGTAAGTAAAAAATAAAAGTAAGTAAAAAATAAAAGTAAGTAAAAAATAAAAGTAAGTAAAAAATAAAAGTAAGTAAAAAATAAAAGTAAGTAAAAAATAAAAGTAAGTAAAAAATAAAAGTAAGTAAAAAATAAAAGTAAGTAAAAAATAAAAGTAAGTAAAAAATAAAAGTAAGTAAAAAATAAAAGTAAGTAAAAAATAAAAGTAAGTAAAAAATAAAAGTAAGTAAAAAATAAAAGTAAGTAAAAAATAAAAGTAAGTAAAAAATAAAAGTAAGTAAAAAATAAAAGTAAGTAAAAAATAAAAGTAAGTAAAAAATAAAAGTAAGTAAAAAATAAAAGTAAGTAAAAAATTAAAGTAAGTAAAAAATAAAAGTAAGTAAAAAATAAAAGTAAGTAAAAAATAAAAGTAAGTAAAAAATTAAAGTAAGTAAAAAATAAAAGTAAGTAAAAAATAAAAGTAAGTAAAAAATAAAAGTAAGTAAAAAATAAAAGTAAGTAAAAAATAAAAGTAAGTAAAAAATAAAAGTAAGTAAAAAATAAAAGTAAGTAAAAAATAAAAGTAAGTAAAAAATAAAAGTAAGTAAAAAATAAAAGTAAGTAAAAAATAAAAGTAAGTAAAAAATAAAAGTAAGTAAAAAATAAAAGTAAGTAAAAAATAAAAGTAAAAAATAAAAGTAAGTAAAAAATAAAAGTAAGTAAAAAATAAAAGTAAGTAAAAAATAAAAGTAAGTAAAAAATAAAAGTAAGTAAAAAATAAAAGTAAGTAAAAAATAAAAGTAAGTAAAAATAAAAGTAAGTAAAAAATAAAAGTAAGTAAAAAATAAAAGTAAGTAAAAAATAAAAGTAAGTAAAAAATAAAAGTAAGTAAAAAATTAAAGTAAGTAAAAAATTAAAGTAAGTAAAAAATTAAAAAATAAAAGTAAGTAAAAAATAAAAGTAAGTAAAAACACAAAAATGTGTGAAGGCCCACCAATCCTAAAGGTAATTTTTTTTTTACTCGGCGATTTTAACATTTTTATACACACAAATCTTATATCAGGTTTTTGTAACAAGTTTTTATAATATGTTTTTCTAACAAGTTAGAAATAGAAATGCACTGGGAAAAATGTGCACACTGGCAAAAATAGCCGACTGTTGCTAGTGCAGATGGGGAATGGTCGGGAGGTGGTGTGGTGAATGGTGGTGTTTGGTGTCATTACTGTGGTGTTTGGTATCAGAAATGGTGGTGTTTGGTGTCGCTGGTGTGGTGTATGGTGTCAGAAATGGAGGTGTTCGGTGTCATCATTGTGGTATTCGGTGTTTGTAGTTTGGCGTTAGGAGTCTTTAGTGTGGTGTTTGTCAACATCACTAACATCAGAACATCATCGTTCACATCACCATCATCACACCATTGCCAGCTAAATCTTATACATGACGAGTATGACGTCACACAGACGTCACACCTACGACATCACAGCCGTTACATATGAACAGAACACCTGCGGCCAACTAGTCACGTGATGGGGTTCTATATCTCAGCATGAATCACGACTATTACGTCATGTAGGGGAAATATTTGTGGTCAGAAATCTTCCTATAGTCAACTATAGTTCTCTCAATGGCCCAGGTAGGCGCTACAGCTAGAGAGGGCTTTAGGGTAGGATGGTGCTCAAGAACTCAATGGGGCTACAAGTACTGGCAGATAATGACAGACTTACACCCGTATGTCAATATCATGTTGAAGTCATTTTAGAGAACCTGCACAGTGGGTCTTTTAAATGACCGCGAGTTTTTACCATCTTGTTCTTTTCTTCAATGAACAAGTCCTTTTCCCCATTTTTTCCCCCTATAAAATAACGTCACAAGAATAATCATAAAATCAACACAATTAAAATGATTAAATTTAAAACAAAATTAGAAAAGTATTTTGTCGAATTTCACAAACTTCTCAACAATGTATATCATCGTCACAACCCTCCCCCCCCCCCCCAACCCTTCCCCCAGCGCCATTTTCGTGAAGTCGTTTATGATTGGAAGGCACAATAAAGTTTACAAACCTGTGTGTATCATGTAGTACAACCCCAATGAAGCTGGTGACGTGTCATTGTGTGAATGTCTGTATGGTGTGTCTGTCGAACTGGGTACATTGTCTTGTGTGTGTGTCTCTGTGTGTGTGTGTGTGTGTGTGTGTCTGCAGGTCACCATGACCTAGACGGACACGTGCAAATACTTGAGCCGCGCTGAGAGTACCGTGGTATTTCCGCTTCCGTTCTTCTCTTACGTCACGTGACCAGGGGTCGCCATGCTCAGACCTGCTGACAGTGTTTACATGACATCAGACTGGTCACGTGTCTTTTGTTAGGGTGGGTGGGGCGGACACGTGAGCCGCGGGCCAGAGTTGATTGGGCAGACATGCCGGGTGTGTGTGTGGGGGGGGGGGGGTCGGGTGTTGCCGGGTCAGACGTGTGGGTCACAGATAGAAGGGTAAGACATCTGTGGGATAGACAACCACGTGGTAAATATGACGGGTGAGCAATAGTAGGCCAAACAGATATGCGGCAGACAGTATGAGAAACTTGTCATACGGGGTCAGAGTTCAATGGGTCAACATCAGGGTCAGACATCATGGTCAAGATCAGGGTCAGACATCAGGGTCAGACATCAGGGTCAAACATGTGAGGATTTTGGGCGGAATTTTGGCGGATTTTGTACTTAAAGATTTAGACTTGAATATATGAGTCGGTCTTTCCCTGTTGATTTGTTTCGTTGTTTCTTATACAGAGGTCATTAAAGTACCCACATCTAATTTTATTACCTGATTAGACTACAGTTTAAATAACTAACAATTTGTTTTCCCTTCATCCTTGTACAGTTAAGTTAGGGAAAGGGAACCTCTCTTCTTCAGTGTAACACTGTCTTGAAGATATATTTATGATATTAGTGTCCTTGATTTGTTTTACAACTTTTGTTTTCACTTATACATAGAATTACATAATCTACTCCCGAAGTTTAAAAAAGAAAAACTTTTACTTTCTCAGATGGTGAAGCCGCAAAGCACATCGACCTCCTGGCTGCCGTGGGTATCCCCGACAAAAAGAACACCCACCTGACCTACACCACGGGGTTGGGCGGCTACCCCACCTTCCACATCAGCAAGGAGGCGAGTATCCAAGCCACCGCCCAGGTCCACTTCCGTGAGGCGCTGTTCGCAGACTTCGCCGTGGTCACCACCTTCAAGTCCCTCACACCGGACGTCGGGTTTATCTTTGCCGTGGTCAACCCGTACCAGACGATCATCCAGTTCGGGCTGCTGGTGGAGGCAGGAGCCAGGGACCAGCAGAACGTGGTGTTGTACTACACGCCCAACTCAAAGTTCGCCGCCTCTTCGCAGGTTATCGCCAACTTCACGATCCCCGACATGAGCGGCAAGTGGGTCAAGTACGGCATCGCCGTGGACGGCACCGACATCCGGTTGTTTGTGAACTGTGTGGAGGCCGAGAGGGTTCAGTGGTCAAGGACGGTCAGCCGGTTGGACTTTGAACCCGGGTCGGTGTTGTATATAGGTCAGGCTGGACCCGCTGCTCCTGATGTTGGCAGGTTTGAGGTGAGTGATGGTGTGTGATGTGTGAGTGATGGTGTGTGATGTGTGAGTGATGGTGTGTGATGTTTGAGGTGAGTGATGGTGTGATGTGTGAGGTGAGTGATGGTGTGATGTGTGAGGTGAGTGATGGTGTGTGAGGTGAGTGATGATGTGTGAGGTGAGTGATGGTGTGTGATGTGTGAGTGAGTGATGGTGTGTGATGTGTGAGTGAGTGATGGTGTGTGATGTGTGAGTGAGTGATGGTGTGTGATGTGTGAGTGAGTGATGGTGTGTGATGTGTGAGTGAGTGATGGTGTGATGTGTGAGGTGAGTGATGGTGTGTGATGTGTGAGGTGAGTGATGGTGTGTGAGGTGAGTGATGATGTGTGAGGTGAGTGATGGTGTGTGGTGTGTGAGGTGAGTAATGTGGTGTGAGGTGAGTGATGTGTGAGGTGAGTGATGGTGTGTGGTGTGTGAGGTGAGTAATGTGGTGTGAGGTGAGTGATGTGTGAGGTGAGTGATGGTGTGTGGTGTGTGAGGTGAGTAATGTGGTGTGAGGTGAGTGATGTGTGAGGTGAGTGATGGTGTGTGGTGTGTGAGGTGAGTGATGGTGTGTGGTGTGTGAGGTGAGTAATGTGGTGTGAGGTGAGTGATGTGTGAGGTGAGTGATGGTGTGTGATGTGTGAGGTGAGTGATGGTGTGTGGTGTGTGAGGTGAGTAATGTGGTGTGAGGTGAGTGATGTGTGAGGTGAGTGATGGTGTGTGGTGTGTGAGGTGAGTAATGTGGTGTGAGGTGAGTGATGTTTGAGGTGAGTAATGTGTGAGTGAGTGATGGTGTGTGAGGTTTGAGGTGAGTAATGTGGTGTGATGTGTGAGGTGAGTGATGGTTTTAAAAACAAGCATTTATGTAATATTGCACTAAAAATGAGAAAATAAATGATTTTCTCCAAATATGCAATAATACACTACTATCTAAATAACTATAAAGACATTTTTAATTAATTCATAAAACATTGATTAGTCATTCAATTAATTCAAATTTGAAGTCTGATTGCATTGTCGCTGGGTCATCCCCAACGTGCCGAATTTCAGAGAAATTAATCTGTTACGAGTGCTCGAAATTTCACTCGCCCGTTTCGATCTAGACAGAAAAGACAGGGGAAGCAATTTAAATGAAATCTTGTAATAAACCGTCAATAACGTGGATTTAATGACACCTACAATTTTAAAATATTTCACGTTTGCTAACTTCACACATTTTTTAACGTCAACTCATCATTTTATCTCAGTAGAGATCTAGTTTCAATATGGTCAACTCAGCAGTTTATCTCAATAGAGATCTAGTTTCACTATCGTCAACTCAGCATTTTATCTCAATAGAGATCTAGTTTCAACATCGTCAACTCAGCAGTTTATCTCAATAGAGATCTAGTTTCAACATCGTCAACTCAGCATTTTATCTCAATAGAGATCTAGTTTCAACATCGTCAACTCAGCAGTTTATCTCAATAGAGATCTAGTTTCAACATCGTCAACTCAGCAGTTTATCTCAATAGAGATCTAGTTTCAACATCGTCAACTCAGCAGTTTATCTCAATAGAGATCTAGTTTCAATATCGTCAGCATTTTATCTCAATAGAGATCTAGTTTCAATTCCGTCAGCATTTTATCTCAATAGAGATCTAGTTTCAACATCGTCAACTCAGCAGTTTATCTCAATAGAGATCTAGTTTCAATATCGTCAGCATTTTATCTCAATAGAGATCTAGTTTCAATTCCGTCAGCATTTTATCTCAATAGAGATCTAGTTTCAACAATTATTTTCTTAATTAAGTCGTAACATATGGTTTCGCATAATTGCCTGTATAATTGGCTGTATGTGTCATTACAAACCTACGCCTACAGCCCGATATCTCCCAGCCAGTATCGACCTGTAAGGTGGGCATCCATTTAACACGTGACCCCATATCAACATGTACCCGTTTACATCCCTGCAAAGGTCACTGTGGACTGACCACGTAGGGCAGTGCGGACTGACCAGGTAACTCCGTTACACAACTTGCCACGCTGCACTTAATTAACAGCTAAAAATAATGACACGGTATTGTCTTACAGCCAATTTATCCTCAGACGTAACATATCGTTCGTTGGCTGAAAACGAGGCCAATATCATTCAAAATGGCGTCGCCTTTGATCATTGTTGATATGAAAACAAAACGCGGGATAGCAGGGGGGGGGGAGTTAATCCTACGGGATCACAACAAACAGGATATCATTGAATGTCGTAAAAAAACGTAAACATGGCTGGTTGCTTGAAAGTGATGACGTGTCTTGTCTTCCAAGTGTTTAGCCCGATACAGTAGAATGTCACCGTGACATGCGGACGAGGGCGTCTCTAGGGGGAGCGGGAGGGGGAGCGGGACACGACCTTAGAGAAGTGTGTTTGTGTGCGTTTGCCGGGTAGGGGGTAGGCAGGGTACACGGCCTAAATGTTGTCGGACATGTAAGTCTTTTTTTAAAAACTCTCTTTTGCGGTGGGTGGGGGGGGGGGGGATGGACTCGACCTACCCTTGTTAGACTGATCAATGCTGACATTGTGTATGTGCGCTTCAGATAAAAGGATGAAAGATGAAGGTGTCCCCTCTCTCTCTCTCTCACTAAAAGTATTAATAAATTGTACCTCTCTATTAAGATATCTGTTATAAAAAATTTAATAAATGTACCTCTCTATAACTTACCTAAACGGTTGTAAAAATTCATCTTTCTATTAAAACCTCACTGTTACAAAAACTCATCTCTCTATAAAATATCTCACTGTTTACCTCACTATTACAAAAACTCATCTCTGTATAAAATATCTCACTGTTTACCTCACTATTACAAAAATTCATCTCTCTATAAAATATCTCACTGTATACCTCACTATTACAAAAATTCATCTCTCTATAAAATATCTCACTGTATACCTCACTATTACAAAAATTCATCTCTCTATAAAATATCTCACTGTTTACCTCACTATTACAAAAACTCATCTCTCTATAAAATATCTCACTGTTTACCTCACTTACAAAAACCCATCTCTCTATAAAATATCTCACTGTTTACCTCACTATTAAAAAAATTCACCTCTCTATAAAATATCTCACTGTTTACCTCACTATTACAAAAATTCACCTCTCTATAAAATATCTCACTGTTTACCTCACTATCTTCACAGGGTTCTGTAGAAGAGATTAAAGTCTTTGCTGACCCAGGGCAGGTCACCGATAATGACGACCAATGTGATGGTATGGTAAGTATTGATGGCTTATCGCCCTTGCTTGTCATAGTTTTTGTTTCTTTCTTAGAATAATTTTATTGTAAGACATTGTTGTATTCATCTCTCCTCAGTTATAATGTTGTATTCCTCTCTCCTCAGTTATAATGTTGTATTCCTCTCTCCTCAGTTATAATGTTGTATTCATCTCTCCTCAGTTATAATGTTGTATCCATCTCTCCTCAGTTATAATGTTGTATTCATCTCTCCTCAGTTATAATGTTGTATTCCTCTCTCCTCAGTTATAATGTTGTATCCATCTCTCCTCAGTTATAATGTTGTATTCCTCTCTCCTCAGTTATAATGTTGTATTCCTTTCTACTCAGTTATAATGTTGTATTCATCTCTCCTCAGTTATAATGTTGTATTCCTTTCTACTCAGTTATAATGTTGTATTCCTCTCTCCTCAGTTATAATGTTGTATTCCTCTACTGAGTGATCATGTTGTATTCCTCTGAGTTATAATGTTGTATTCCTCTACTGAGTGATCATGTTGTATTCCTCTGAGTTATAATGTTGTATTCCTCTGTCCTCAGTTATAATGTTGTATTCCTCTATAATGTTGTATCCATCTCTCCTCAGGCCTACAGTGGTTCTGGTGATGGTAAGGAGACACCCACTTCAGTCACGCCCACATTTACAGTAAGTTTCTGTCAGTGGTCATGTCATATCATACTGTCATGAAATGCCACATCATGTCATGTCATGAAATGCCACGTCATGTCAATATTCTCGTACTGACAAGTCCTACAATATTGTTTAGAAATGAAACACAAGTATTTACCACCACTATTTAAAACACAAAAATGAATTCAAGGGAAGTAATCGAGAAAATGTCATGATCAGGTTTTTGTTGGACTATGTTGGATTATGTTGAACTTAAAAAAATGTATGTAGAAACTGTTTTTCTGGTAAAAATAATTTATACATAGATTCACATTATGGTAAAAGAGCATGGAATTGTGAACATGTTTTAAACTGGTCTAGCCCCAAAGTTTGTTTTTCTTACACAATGAACTAGCCAGACAGTTGTTGATATTACATTGCAATGTAATGGGTTTTAATGCCGGTTTATTTTTATTTTTATTATTAACACTATACTTACTTTATCTAACATTAAAAACGAAAAAGCTAATTTAGTATGAGTTTGTTTCAGGTATATTATTATAATTTATTATAAATTATTATAATTTTATATTATATTTTATATTATGGCTTGATCAGGTGTATCTTGTCAGTCATGCAATAGTTAATGATGTATACCAACAAATATGTGTGCCACCATTGATGTATATCAACAAATATGTGTGCCACCAATGATGTATACCAAGAAATATGTGTGCCACCATTGATGTATACCAACAAATATGTGTGCCACCAATGATGTATACCAAGAAATATGTGTGCCACCATTGATGTATAATTTGTTGGTCAACTCCTCTATTGTTGGTCGACTGCTGTGCTGATTAGGTCCTCTCCTATTGTTGGTCGACTGCTGTGCTGATTAGGTCCTCTCCTATTGTTGGTCGACTGCTGTGCTGATTAGGTCCTCTCCTATTGTTGGTCGACTGCTGTGCTGATTAGGTCCTCTCCTATTGTTGGTCGACTGCTGTGCTGATTAGGTCCTCTCCTATCAATAATCAACTGCTGTGCTGATTAGGTCCTCTCCTATTGTTGGTCGACTGCTGTGCTGATTAGGTCCTCTCCTATTGTTGTGCTGTGCTGATTAGGTCCTCTCCTATCGTTGGTCAACTGCTGTGCTGATTAGGTCCTCTCCTATTGTTGGTCGACTGCTGTGCTGATTAGGTCCTCTCCTATTGTTGGTCGACTGCTGTGCTGATTAGGTCCTCTCCTATTGTTGGTCAACTGCTGTGCTGATTAGGTCCTCTCCTATCGTTGTTCGACTGCTGTGCTGATTAGGTCCTCTCCTATTGTTGGTCAACTGCTGTGCTGATTAGGTCCTCTCCTACCGTTGGTCGACTGCTGAGCTGATTAGGTCCTCTCCTATTGTTGGTTGACTGTTGTGCTGATTAGGTCCTCTCCTATTGTTGGTCGACTGCTGTGCTGATTAGGTCCTCTCCTATTGTTGTGCTGTGCTGATTAGGTCCTCTCCTATTGTTGGTCGACTGCTGTGCTGATTAGGTCCTCTCCTATTGTTGGTCGACTGCTGTGCTGATTAGGTCCTCTCCTATTGTTGGTTGACTGTTGTGCTGATTAGGTCCTCTCCTATTGTTGGTTGACTGTTGTGCTGATTAGGTCCTCTCCTATTGTTGGTCGACTGCTGTGCTGATTAGGTCCTCTCCTATTGTTAGTCGACTGCTGTGTTGATTAGGTCCTCTCCTATTGTTGGTCGACTGCTGTGCTGATTAGGTCCTCTCCTATTGTTGTGCTGTGCTGATTAGGTCCTCTCCTATTGTTGTGCTGTGCTGATTAGGTCCTCTCCTATTGTTGGTCTACTGCTGTGCTAATTAGGTCCTCTCCTATTGTTGGTTGACTGCTGTGCTGATTAGGTCCTCTCCTATTTCTAGGGCAGACAACCAACAAAGGGCAGTAAGGGTGACGCAGGAATGAAGGGTGACAAAGGTGACGCGGGTATGAAAGGTGACCGGGGTGAGCAGGGACCTCAGGGACTTCCTGGATTAGATCGACCTCCTCTAATTACACCCCCTCCCCCTGACCTCGAGGGACTGAGAGGACCTAAAGGTAAGGCTCAAATAAAAAGGTAATGCTCAGAGAAAAAGGTAATGCTCAGAGAAAAGTAAGATACTACTAGTAGTCAAACATATTACTAAATCAGGGGTAAATGTGGAAAAAAATATTTTTATATAAAAGTAACTTGAATTGTAGCCCCATACAAACAGTACCTTTTAAGACATACTATCTCCTAAAGATCAACAGAATAAAAGTAAATAATCACTACTGGTTCTGTAGCAAATTAAAAATACAAATGGGACATTAATTAAAATTCTCAGGAAAACTATGTGCTATTGTGTCAGACATAGTTATGAATGCATACATTTGGACGTATACATATGTATTTTGTAATTGTGGACACATATGCTGTATGTTTATGTAATTGTGGATGCATATGTTGTATGTTTATGTAACTTTGGAATCATATGTTGTAGGTTTATATAATTGTGGATGCATATGTTGTATGTTTATGTAACTGTGGATGCATATGTTGTATGTTTATGTAACTTTGGACTCATATGTTGTAGGTTTATATAATTGTGGATGCATATGTTGTATGTTTATGTAACTGTGGATGCATATGTTGTATGTTTATGTAACTGTGGATGCATATGTTGTATGTTTATGTAACTGTGGATGCATATGTTGTATGTTTATGTAACTGTGGATGCATATGTTGTATGTTTATGTAACTGTGGATGCATATGTTGTATGTTTATGTAACTGTGGATGCATATGTTGTATGTTTATGTAACTGTGGATGCATATGTTGTATGTTTATGTAACTGTGGATGCATATGTTGTATGTTTATGTAACTGTGGATGCATATGTTGTATGTTTATGTAACTGTGGATGCATATGTTGTATGTTCATGTAAATGTGGACACATATGTTGTATGTTTATATAATATAATTGTGGATGCACATGTTGTATGTTTATGTAACTTTGAACTCAAATGTTGTATGTTTGTGTAACTGTGGATGCATATGTTGTATGTTTATGTAACTGTGGATGCATATGTTGTATGTTTATGTAACTGTGGATGCATATGTTGTATGTTTATGTAATTGGGGTGTTGTGGTGCTGACTGTTGTCCTCTGTGTTCCAGGTGACCGAGGTGAGCCAGGTAAACCAGGTGAGACTGGCATCCAGGGTTTCCCCGGCGCCAAGGGTCAGGACGGAGAACCAGGTCTGCCCGGCATCAATGGACAGAAGGGAGAGAAGGGGGACACAGGGGAGAAGGGAGAAGCTGTAAGTTTTTTTAGGTCAGAGGTCATGTGTATTATGGGTCAGAGGTTACAGTTTTCTTAGTTGATCACTGTTGTTTTCTGATACTGGTCAGAGGTTACAGTTTTTTTCTGGGTCAGAGGTTATGTGTATTCTAGGTCAGAGGGTACAATTGTATTCTGCTTTAGGTCAAGGCTTCTGCATCTTGTGGGTCAAATGTGATACTATTTCTGGATCAGAGGTTAATATATAAAAAAATATAAAAATATATTTTCCTTCAACCTTTATTTAGCATCAAGACACAAACTGATGTGATGTAACCTTTGTTTTTTATCATCTGGTTAAACACAAATCTCTTATATTTGTTCCATTGCTAGCAACAAATCTCTTATACTTTTCCCAACTGTAGAATCTGATACTTTTGCAAAATTAAACAACAAAGTCATACTATTTTAATAATTATGAATGGGAATTAATGAACAGAATTGATCTCTCAATGTTATCTAAAACAATTAGATTTTCTTTAAGAATGCAATGTGTCGAAATTTATTATATTGATTTTTTTACTTAGCTTATTATACTTGGGGGTCATCCATTTATGACGTCCACCATTTTTTTAGATTTTGGACCCCCCCCCCCACCCCATCTACAAAAATCCACTTTTTTCCTTATAAAATTCTATATTCGTCCACATAAGTCAGTTTTTTTCGTAACCCCCTCCCCCCCCCTCCGCATGTGGACGTCATAAATGGATGACCCCTTAGCTTTAAATACTACAATTCCATGCATATATATTTACTTCAATCTGTTCCTATTGTAAGTTAATGTTCACGTATTGATGCCTCTTCAAGCACTAATCTAAGTTTGGAAATAACTCAACCATTTGATGAATTTACCTTTATAAGCTCTGTGATTCTAAATTCTCTCCATGACCTATTGACCTGATGTATGTGATTCTGAATTCTCTCCATGAACTATCTGTTAACTTGACCTATCTGATTCTAAATTCTCTCCATGACCTATCTGTTGACTTGACCTATCTGATTCTAAATTCTCTCCATGACCTATTGACCTGATGTATGTGGTTTTAATTCTCTCCATGACCTATCTGTTGACTTGACCTATCTGATTCTAAATTCTCTCCATGACCTATCTGTTGACTTGACCTATCTGATTCTAAATTCTCTCCATGACCTATCTGTTGACTTGACCTATCTGATTCTAAATTCTCTCCATGACCTATTGACCTGATGTATGTGGTTTTAATTCTCTCCATGACCTATCTGTTGAATTGACCTATCTGATTCTAAATTCTCTCCATGAACTATCTGTTGACTTGACCTATGTGATTCTGAACTCTCTCTCTCTGTTGACTGCAGGGAACTCCTGGTCTGAGTGTGGTGGGCCCCCCTGGCCCCCCAGGCCCACCTGGAGAGCCCATAGACATCCCGTCAGATGTAGAGAAGGGCATGAAGGGAGAGGCGGGGGAGAGAGGGCCACCTGGTGTGTCTATCATCGGCCCACCCGGCCCCAGAGGGGAGCCAGGTCCTAAGGTGGGTTATTTATTTATTCAGGTAATTTATGTCTTGTCATATGAACTGGAGTAGACCTATATGTCTGAATAATTTATTCAGGTAATTGAATTCTTGTCATATGAACTAGAATAGACCTGTATGTCTGAATAATTTATTCAGGTATTTAAAGTCTTGTCATATGAACTAGAATAGACCTGTATGTCTGAATAATTTATTCAGGTATTTAAAGTCTTGTCATATGAACTAGAATAGACCTGTATGTCTGAATAATTTATTCAGGTATTTAAAGTCTTGTCATATGAACTAGAATAGACCTGTATGTCTGAATAATTTATTGATGTATTTAAATTCTTGCTATATGAACTAGAACAGACCTTTGTCACATGTGATGTAGTTTGCTTCTTTCTATTTTTTTTACCTTACGACCCTAATCCTGTTAGCGCGTCTAGTCGTGTTAGCTAATTGACTTACTGTCTAGTCGTGTTAGCTAATTGACTTACTGTCTAGTCGTGTTAGCTAATTGACTTACTGTCTAGTCGTGTTAGCTAATTGACTTACTGTTATTGATCTCCCAGGGCGAGTCCATTATTGGTGTGGACCCTACTCCTGTTAGCGCGTCTAGTCGTGTTAGCTAATTGACTTACTGTTATTGATCTCCCAGGGCGAGTCCATTATTGGTGTGCCGGGGACTCCTGGCCTGCCCGGCATGAAAGGTGAACGTGGTCCTGAAGGACCGGTGGGACCACGAGGACCACCGGGGGAGGTCAAATATGTCAATGCTGGTTTTGATGACGTTGGGTCCTCTGGTGAAGGGGAGAAACTGCCAGGACCACCGGGACCACAAGGACCTGAAGGACCAAGGGGCCCAGTAGGACCACAAGGTGCAGGATCTATTTTTAGATATTTTTTTTTGCCTCAAGGCTATCTTGGTCTCAAAAGTTCTTTCTTTAAACTAAACTTGATCTGACTTTTGGAATTTTGAAAACTCATGACTTGTATTTGAAGCTTTGGTCACTTTATTAATTACATTAATTATTTATTAATTTTTAGAAACCGTCCCCCAGCCATTTGTGATAGTATTAATTATAAACATTTGAAAAAAATATGTGTCATGTTTACAAGTCCCATTTAAAGTCTGTCTGCCATTAAGTCTGTCTGCCCTATCTAAAGTTCTGTCTGCCTTATTTCAAGCCTGTCTACCATTAAGTTTGTCTTGTCTATCTACAATTATGTCTGCCCCATTTAAAGTCTGTCTACCATTTAGTCTGTCTTGTCCACCTACAATTATGTACTCCCCATTTAAAGTCTGTCTGCCATTAAGTTTGTCTGCTGTATCTAAAATTCTGTCTAACATTAAATGTCTGCCCTATCTATAATTCTGTCTGCCCCATTTAAAGTCTGTCTACCATTAAGTCTGTCTACTTTAAAGTCTGTCTACCTTTAAGTCTGTCTACCATTAAGTCTGTCAGCCACCTATCCAAGTCTGTCTGTGTTGTGGTCATGTGGTCCAGTGGTCCTGTGGTCCAGTAAATGAGAAACCCTCCTAACAAACTGTCCCCAGGCCCCCCTGGGTTACCTGGCCAGCAAGGGCCACCAGGGCCAGAGCCACGCATCACTGATGAGCTGTTGGAGCAGTTGAAAGGTCCCCAGGGACCTCCAGGTGAACCAGGCAAGCAGGGACCTCTGGGACCTACAGGTTTGCCTGTAAGTATCAGCAGCTGTATTCCAAGACTTGAAATTTTTTTTTATTTGGCAACACACTTAATTATATACAATTTTTTAGAAATGGATCATAATATATTGGCAACATATTTAATTATATCTAATTTTTTTTAAATTGATCTAAAACATTATCCACATCCTACTGAATCATATTTTCTCATACAAGAAAGTATGCATTCTCATAAATAAAAAATATTAATTTTAAGTCAAGAAAAGTATACATTCTCAAACAAGAAAAGTATACATTCTCATACAAGAAAGTACACATTCTCAAACAAGAAAAGTATACATTATCAGACTGTACATCATTATCAGTCATACAATCATTCAACCTTTTAACAAAACTAGCACTAGAGCACACAGTAACAGGTTACAGTATCAAATATTTCTTGTCTGTATTAAATGCTATCAGTCTGGGAGTAAGTAGACCTCTCTATGTACTTGTGTCTATTTATAGCATTTATATTTTCTGTTACTTTTGTGATTTCACTGTTGTATTAAGCACCTGATTTACTTGTGAATTTTCTTTGTAGTTACTGCCCTTTTTTTTATCATAGTGATATTTATAAGACAAGTTTGCCTGTAGTTATTTCCCTTTTTGTTATCAATCTATTTTGTATTGCTATTTTCCTTTAAAGTTGTTGTAAAATCTTAAAATCATTCATTTAAAAAAAAAAAAAAAATCTCCCTTATTTAGCACTTTTTATTGACCAGCTATCAATATTTTAAAACAAAGTAGATACATTTTTATTGTATGTAATGTTAGTGCTGTTGTTTTAGCATTTGATGGTTTTTTTTTTCCAATACGCTTCATCAATATTTATCAGCTGTGGCATTACACTAGAAGAGTTTAGTGTTCTTGGTTTTGTTAATAATTTAGGATGTTGATTTAGAGTAACCTCAGTATCTTAATCTTTTTATCCCAGTTTTAATTTGGGGATAAAAATGATAGACCTTTGACCCTTAGAAACAAGGAGATGTACTTTAGTCCATGAAAAAAAGATTAACTATAATTGTGATTTACTTAAGGTGCATGGAATGAGATGTATAAGGCCCATAAAATAAGATTAACGTAGCTTCTTAGAAAAATGTTTACGTACCTTAGGTCAATGATATATGATTTGTTTTTGCTTTTTGGAATAAGATTTACCTAATACCAGTAGGATAAGATTAACTAGATCCATGAAACATTATTTACCTTATGCCCATAAATAAAAGTATGAAGGGTTCAGTGTATTAAAATTTACCTGAAATTTGTAAACAAACTAAAATTTACCTGAAATTTGTAAACAAACTAAAATGTTCCTGAAATTTGTAAACAAACTAAAATGTTCCTGAAATTTGTAAACAAACTAAAATGTTCCTGAAATTTGTAAACAAACTAAAATGTTCCTGAAATTTGTAAACAAACTAAAATGTTAACTATTGCAGGGAATTCCCGGAGCAGAAGGACCAAGGGGTCCTGAAGGACCATTAGGACCAAAGGGAGATAGGGTAAGTTTTTGAGAATCAGTGAAAACTAAGGTTGTATAGCTCTGAGCTAGTGATTGGATGCCCTCAATGTCAGTATAGCTCTGAGCTACAGCAGTGGTTACTTATCTTCAAGGAATAGTCCAACACCTTCAACTAAGAAATGTAGGCCTTAGACTATGGTTACCCAAAATCCGCAGTAATAGTTTAGCTAGTTGAGCCGATTATATCTGACGAAAGCTTACGCCAGGAGTAATGCAAATTTTGTCTCACTTTATAATAGAAGTCTACCTTGTCACATTGAAACATAAGTTTTTTGGTGAGTGTTTTAATCTTAACTGTGACATACTTTTCATGTTAGTCAAAAAAAAGGTGAAAATATTTTCAAATTTCTCTTAGGGTGAACCAGGCCTCAATGGAATTCCTGGCACAGATGGTAAGCCTGGTCTGCCAGGCAGAGATGGCATCAATGGAATCCCAGGAGCACTTGGGCCCAGCGGACCACCAGGGCCACCAGGCCCACCTGGCCCACCAGGTTCCTCTGGCTCGGGTTCTTTTGTTGAACGTGATGAATTTTTCACGGACACAGAGGGCAGTGGAAAATTCGAGCTCAATAAGGTAACTATTTGCTGGTGGTGTGTAGTTCATGCAGTAAGGTAACTATTTGTTGGTGATGTAGTTCATGCAGTAAGGTAACTATTTGTTGGTGATGTAGTTCATGCAGTAAGGTAACTATTTGTTGGTGATGTAGTTCATGCAGTAAGGTAACTATTTGTTGGTGATGTAGTTCATGCAGTAAGGTAACTATTTGTTGGTGATGTAGTTCATGCAGTAAGGTAACTATTTGTTGGTGATGTAGTTCATGCAGTAAGGTAACTATTTGTTGGTGATGTAGTTCATGCAGTAAGGTAACTATTTGTTGGTGGTGTGTAGTTCATGCAGTAAGGTAACTATTTGTTGGTGATGTAGTTCATGCAGTAAGGTAACTATTTGTTGCTGATGTAGTACATGCAGTAAGGTAACTATTTGTTGGTGATGTAGTTCATGCAGTAAGGTAACTATTTGTTGCTGATGTAGTTCATGCAGTAAGGTAACTATTTGTTGGTGATATAGTTCATGCAGTAAGGTAACTATTTGTTGGTGATGTAGTTCATGCAGTAAGGTAACTATTTGTTGGTGTGTAGTTCATGCAGTAAGGTACCTATTTGTTGGTGGTGTGTGGTTCATGAAGTGAGGTAACTATTTGTTGGTGATGTAGTTCATGCAGTAAGGTAACTATTTGTTGGTGATGTAGTTCATGCAGTAAGGTAACTATTTGTTGGTGATGTAGTTCATGCAGTAAGGTAACTATTTGTTGCTGATGTAGTACATGCAGTAAGGTAACTATTTGTTGGTGATGTAGTTCATGCAGTAAGGTAACTATTTGTTGCTGATGTAGTTCATGCAGTAAGGTAACTATTTGTTGGTGATATAGTTCATGCAGTAAGGTAACTATTTGTTGGTGATGTAGTTCATGCAGTAAGGTAACTATTTGTTGGTGGTGTGTAGTTCATGAAGTGAGGTAACTATTTGTTGGTGATATAGTTCATGCAGTAAGGTAACTATCTGTTGGTGATGTAGTTCATGCAATAAGGTAACTATTTTCTCATTATGTAGTTCACGCAATAAGGTAACAGTTGGTCATACATCTTATATTAACTTATAGGCATATATGCTGCACACACTCAAAAATTGACACAAGAATACACCCAAAAAACATATACACATTCATACATACCAGTTGTACATACACACATATATACAGATACATAAATACATCTATTTACGTCATCCGAAACAAACCCATACAAATTTATCTAACATTCCTAAAGTGTGCTCTCATTTTCTTATCTCAGCCTGGTGCTGTGGGCGAACGAGGCCCACAAGGACCTCAAGGACCACAGGGCCGCCAGGGGATCCAAGGATTGCAGGGACCACGGGGAGACAGGGGGGAGAAGGGGGAGAGAGGCAATGACGGTGCTAAGGGTGATGCGGGCCCCAAGGTTTGTAGAATTAGGTTATTTTAGCGTGAGTTTTTTGCACATTCAAATTTACATCATTCTTCAAATAAACTTAGGTAGGTGAGGTGGTTGTAATATATATATATATATATATATATATATATATATATATATATATATATATATATATATATATATATATATATATATATATATATATATATATATATATATATAGTTCCATGACAAATCATATCAGGACAAATGATCTCAGGACCAATAATCTCAAGGACAAATGATCTCACGGACAAAAGATACCAGGACAAAATATATCAGGACAAATTATACCATGGACAAATGATGTTAGACAAACTATCTCAGACAAAATTTCTCACAGCAAAATTTTAGTAGTGTATTATATATATATATATATATATATATATATATATATATATATATATATATATATATATATATATATATTTACTGTTTATACATAATTTACCGATCTAAGAAATACATTAAGAGTTTTTATGATTTTCAAAATATGAAACTGAAAGCGACACTATTTGGCTATAGACAAAAGCTATAATGTTTTCTATACAAATCCTGTCTACACCAATGTTTTCTATACAAATCCTATCTACACCAATGTATTCCATACAAATCCTGTCTACACCAATGTTTTCTATACAAATCCTGTCTACACCAATGTTTTCTATACAAATCCTGTCTACACCAATGTTTTCTATACAAATCCTGTCTACACCAGCTGCATGTTTTCTATACAAATCCTGTCTACACCAATGTTTTCTATACAAATCCTGTCTACACCAATGTTTTCTATACAAATCCTGTCTACACAATTGTTTTCTATACAAATCCTGTCTACAACAATGTTTTCTATACAAATCCTGTCTACACCAATGTTTTCTATACAAATCCTGTCTACACCACCTGCATGTTTTCTATACAAATCCTGTCTACACCAATGTTTTCTATACAAATCCTGTCTACACCAATGTTTTCTATACAAATCCTGTCTACACCAATGTTTTCTATACAAATCCTGTCTACACCACCTGCATGTTTTCTATACAAATCCTGTCTACACCAATGTTTTCTATACAAATCCTGTCTACACCAATGTTTTCTATACAAATCCTGTCTACAACAATGTTTTCTATGTCTACACCAATGTTTTCTATACAAATCCTGTCTACACCAATGTTTTCTATACAAATCCTATCTACACCAATGTATTCCATACAAATCCTGTCTACACCAATGTTTTCTATACAAATCCTGTCTACACCAATGTTTTCTATACAAATCCTGTCTACACCAATGTTTTCTATACAAATCCTGTCTACACCAATGTTTTCTATACAAATCCTGTCTACACCAATGTTTTCCATACACATCCTGTCCCTGACATGAGCCCACTGACTGTACCAGCCAACCCTTGAATCCACAGGGTGATGAAGGACCCAGAGGTCTGCCTGGGCCACACGGCCCACCTGGGGCTCCTGGCCAACCTGGACCTGTAGGGCCATCTGGTGTTGAAGGCACTCCTGGGAGAAATGGACTGCCTGGTGCAAAGGTAATTTCTTGGTCGCTGGCTGGCAGCTCTCATGACACTCACACACTGTCAGTTAAATGACATATCACAGGCTATCAGCTAAAGTGACAAGTCAAAATGTCACTTAAAGTGTTGTGTCACAGACTGAAGCACAAGCCAGCTATGTTAGGTTTGGCCGCCTCTATTTCCAGGCTTGTTTGTGTTTCTACCAAGTTAATTGTTCATTTAAAATCTGTATTATATGTGACACAAAATTATCATAATATTATTTTATAAATCAAACTAAACATCTTGTGTTTATAAAACTAAAGTTATCATTACCTTTGACCTTGCAGGGTGAAAGAGGTCGAGATGCCGAGTTCCCACCCAACTGGAAAGAAGAGCTCAAGGGAGATAAGGGTGATGTAGGACCTGTAGGACCGCCAGGACCTCCAGGACAAATCATTGAAACCTCTGGCTCAGTGGCTGTAAGTTTGGCTTCACAACCTTATGGCTGCAGCTAGTGATAAGGGGTGTCTTGTTTTTAAACAAATGTAACCACTTCATAGCTAATCATTTCTTCTACGTTTGTAATTGTAATGTTTGACAGGATTTCCTACACCACAGTTAAGTATTACGTGTCAACATGTTATGTGCTATATGGCCTCTTGACTCCGATTATTTTTTCTGGATTTGCTTCCATAGCTATTGTCCATCTAAGAACAAACTACAAGGCAGCAGTTGTTTGATTTTGGAGTTGTCTCTCCTAGATGGGTTGCTGTCCCCAGCTATTGAGCCTCATTTGCTGTGGAGGGGGGGGGGGGTCACTGTAGCTAAATTTTTCTATCATAATTATGACAGTCATGCAATAATTGATTGAAGCTTTCCATATCAAGCCAATAATTTCTAACAAATGCGATATTTTTAACAAATGTGATATTTCTAACAAATGTGATATTTCTAACAAATGTGATATTTCTAACAAATGTGATATTTCTAACAAATGTGATATTTCTAACAAATGTAATATTTCTAACAAATGTGATATTTCTAACAAATGTGATATTTCTAACAAATGTGATATTCCTAACAAATGTGATATTTCTAACAAATGTGATATTTCTAACAAATGTGATATTTCTAACAAATGTGATGTTTCTAACAAATGTGATATTTCTATCGCTAGTCTCTGCCTGGCCCCCGAGGTCCACAAGGTTTACCAGGCCCACAAGGTTTACCTGGACCACAAGGACCACAAGGTTTTGTAGGACCGGCAGGATCTCAAGGTCCTAAGGTGAACTTTGACCCTAATATTTTATCCTATTACTGTGTTCAGTTTGATTCATTACAATTAGTGATATTTACAGTCAATAGCTCAATGCCTAAACAAAGGATTTAAATAGGGCATTCAGTATCTAGGCACAAACTTTTAATAGGTCATTTAATAACAAGAATAAGGGTTTAACATTTTCAAATGAAAACACATCTACAGTGTTTATTTCAGACCTTTTTCTCCCGGGGGGGTGGGGGGGCACAATATTTTTTGGGGGGCATACTAAATCTGGGGGGGGGGGGGGGGGAACGACAGCTACTTTTTACATATAATACTGAAAATGACTTTAAATGTCTAGCTGAAAGACAAGAGGATTTATCCTTGTGATTAGACTAAAATCAACATTGTAGGTTCTAGTAAATGCCATTGGGGGAATGGTGTTGACAATGACTTTGACATTTCAATACACTGTAAACCCAGTTGTTTTATTGGTCTAACCACCTGTTTACAGGGTGAGCGTGGTATGGTAGGACCTGCGGGTCCTCCAGGACCTCCTGGTCCTGCAACTGTGGTGAGCAGCGACACAGGGATTGCAGTTGGTGGCGTGGTGGTGAGTACATCTTACGTTGGTGGGTGGTGTGGTGGTGAGTACATCTTTTGTTGGTGGGGTAGTGGTGAGTACATCTTTTGTTGGTGGCGTGGTGGTGAGTACATCTTTTGTTGGTGGCGTGGTGGTGAGTACATCTTTTGTTGGTGGCGTGGTGGTGAGTACATCTTTTGTTGGTGGGGTAGTGGTGAGTACATCTTTTGTTGGTGGGGTAGTGGTGAGTACATCTTTTGTTGGTGGTGTGGTGGTGAGTACATCTTTTGTTGGTGGGGTAGTGGTGAGTACATCTTTTGTTGGTGGTGTGGTGGTGAGTACATCTTTTGTTGGTGGGGTAGTGGTGAGTACATCTTTTGTTGGTGGCGTGGTGGTGAGTACATCTTTTGTTGGTGGGGTAGTGGTGAGTACATCTTTTGTTGGTGGCGTGGTGGTGAGTACATCTTTTGTTGGTGGGGTAGTGGTGAGTACATCTTTTGTTGGTTGGTGGGATAGTGGTGAGTACATCTTTTGTTGGTGGTGTGGTGGTGGTGAGTACATCTTTTGTTGGTGGGGTAGTGGTGAGTACATCTTTTGTTGGTTGGTGGGATAGTGGTGAGTACATCTTTTGTTGGTGGTGTGGTGGTGAGTACATCTTTTGTTGGTGGTGTGGTGGTGAGTACATCTTTTGTTGGTGGGGTAGTGGTGAGTACATCTTTTGTTGGTGGTGTGGTGGTGAGTATATCTTTTGTTGGTGGTGTGGTGGTGAGTACATCTTTTGTTGGTGGCGTGGTGGTGAGTACATCTTTTGTTGGTGGTGTGGTGGTGAGTACATCTTTTGTTGGTGGTGTGGTGGTGAGTACATCTTAGACTTTTGTTGGTGGGGTAGTGGTGAGTACATCTTTTGTTGGTGGGGTAGTGGTGAGTACATCTTTTGTTGGTGGTGTGGTGGTGAGTACATCTTTTGTTGGTGGTGTGGTGGTGAGTACATCTTTTGTTGGTGGGGTAGTGGTGAGTACATCTTAGACTTTTGTTGGTGGGGTAGTGGTGAGTACATCTTTTGTTGGTGGTGTGGTGGTGAGTACATCTTTAATGTTGGTGGTGTGGGGTAGTGGTGAGTACATCTTTTGTTGGTGGTGTGGTGGGGTGGTGGTGAGTACATCTTTTGTTGGTGGTGTGGGGTAGTGGTGAGTACATCTTTTGTTGGTGGTGTGGTGGTGAGTACATCTGTTGTTGGTGGTGTGGTGGTGAGTACATCTTTTGTTGGTGGGTGGGGTGGTGGTGAGTACATCTTAGACTTTTGTTGGCTGGTCGGGTAGTGTAGGTCAACACATTCAGACATCACTGGGGTGATTCTATCTGTTAACTTGACAGGGACCAAAAGGAGAGCCAGGTCCTCAAGGACCTCCAGGACCTGTAGGACCTAGAGGATTCCGAGGACCTCAGGGAGAAATGGGCCTGCCAGGTTTTGTGGTATGTCCTCAGTAAACATCCTCATGGCATATACTGTAAACCTCCTGATCTTCCACTCATAATATCTACTGTAAACCTCCTGATCTTCTGATCATGACATCTACTGTAAACCTCCTGATCTTCTGATCATGACATCTACTGTAAACCTCCTGATCTTCTGATCATGACATCTACTGTAAACCTCCTGATCTTCTGATCATGACATCTACTGTAAACCTCCTGATCTTCTGATCATGACATCTACTGTAAACCTCCTGATCTTCTGATCATGACATCTACTGTGAACCTCTCTAAAACAAGGTTCCTCGCCTAACTTACTGTAAACCTCTCTAAAACAAGGAACCTCCCCTAACCTACTGTAAACCTCTCTAAAACAAGGTTCCTCCCCAAACCTACTGTAAACCTCTGTAAAAAAAGAATCCTCCCCTAATTTTTTTGTTTCTAATACACACAGGGCAGGAACGGGGCACAAGGTAAAAAAGGTGAGCCAGGTGTTGGCATCAAAGGTGAACCAGGTATCAGCATCAAGGGAGAAAAGGTAAGTTTTCCTCATCTTACATGTAATGCTTACATCAGTTGAAGATTCAACATTTGTTGTGTTTGCGGTAAGGCTCAATATATTTTTTCATGAGACCTTGAATGGGAATAATAACTTTTAACTTGACATTGATAAACAAAAAAAAAAACATGCCATTTTCTTTAAATTGGTAACTTTATAAAGTCATATTTAAATTGAGTTTTTGAATTTTTAAATTATTTGATAAACTTGATTTTGTAATGAGTTATTGATTTTGATGAAAATCAAAATTTAAAAAAATTGATGAACTGTTGTAGGGCAGCCCAGGAGACAGAGGACTGCGAGGTTTTGTGGGCCCAGCTGGACCACCAGGGCCACCGGGGACAGTTGCTGACGGCCTCACTGTTCCCAGCTGTAAGTCGTGCCCTACACTGCTAAACCCAATGCATAGGTCAAGGTCATAACCATCCCACCTGCCTGTAAATTACCCCCTCTCATTTCCCACCACCTTCATAGTCTCAGATCAATCACCCTGTCAATGACCACAATCTGAACCTTAAGCTATCTGTTTGTCTATCTCAGAGGCTTGGCGACCCTTTCGGCGCCCAGGGACACTTTCAATTTGGTGTTCCCCTTGCAATTTGCACCCCCCCTCAAACTTTCAATTTGTCTTTCCAAAACCCATTTGGCGCCCGGGGCATATGTACTCCCCCCCCCTTCGCTACCCCTCTGGTCTGTTTCTAAATGACCAAGAAGTATTTGACAGGGAGTAATGTCCTAATGTTTTTTATTTTGACTTTCACTCATAATTTCTCTTGATATTACTTTTGTTTTAATATTGTTTTTCTACATTAAACAATGATTGCAAATAACATAGTGTTTTCATCAACTCTCTGACCTTTGAACTTTGACCTGGTCAAGTTGACCTTTCATCTGATGTTGTATTTAAATTCTTCAGATCTGCCTGGACCCAAAGGTGATAAAGGTGACCGCGGCAAGGACGGCATGCCTGGACTTCAGGTTGTAACCTTAGGCTTAGTACTCTTAACATTTGGTTGTAATCTTAGGCTTAGTTCTCTTAACATTTGGTTGTAATCTTAGGCTTAGTTCTCTTAACATTTGGTTGTAATCTTAGGCTTAGTACTCTTAACATTTGGTTGTAATCTTAGGCTTAGTTCTCTTAACATTTGGTTGTAATCTTAGGCTTAGTTCTCTTAACATTTGGTGGTAACCTTAGGCTGAGTTCTCTTAACATTTGGTTGTAATCTTAGGCTTAGTTCTCTTAATATTTGGTTGTAATCTTAGGCTTAGTTCTCTTAACATTTGGTTGTAATCTTAGGCTTAGTTCTCTTAACATTTGGTTGTAATCTTAGGCTTAGTTCTCTTAACATTTGGTTGTAATCTTAGGCTTAGTTCTCTTAACATTTGGTTGTAATCTTAGGCTTAGTTCTCTTAACATTTGGTTGTAATCTTAGGCTTAGTTCTCTTAACATTTGGTTGTAATCTTAGGCTTAGTTCTCTTAACATTTGGTTCTAACCTTAGGCTTAGTTCTCTTAACATTTGGTTGTAATCTTAGGCTTAGTTCTCTTAACATTTGGTTGTAATCTTAGGCTTAGTTCTCTTAACATTTGGTTGTAATCTTAGGCTTAGTTCTCTTAACATTTGGTTGTAATCTTAGGCTTAGTTCTCTTAACATTTGGTTCTAACCTTAGGCTTAGTTCTCTTAACATTTGGTTGTAATCTTAGGCTTAGTTCTCTTAACATTTGGTTGTAATCTTAGGCTTAGTTCTCTTAACATTTGGTTGTAACCTTAGGCTTAGTTCTCTTACATTTTTTAAAGTTTCATTTGCGGTTACGAGAACAATATTTAAAATTAAATTTCACACCTAGACTAAGTTTTCGGAACAGTTTTTTTTTTATTAATTAGGCCTACATGTTAAGGCTGTAATTTTTTTTTTTTTAAATTAAGTTTTGTGTTTAGTCTGAGTTATCTGAAAAATTAAAAACCATCAATTTTATGTTAAGAAAATTAAAATTAACAACTTGTTCCTTCTGTACCTGTTGTAACTTAAGCAAAAAATCCTTTATATTCATCATATCAAGCAACAAATTTGTTATACTTGTACCAATTTTTGCAACAAATTTCTAAGGCCTATTTATCATAACCTAAGCAAAAAATCCATTATATTTATCATAACAAGCAACAAATCTGTTATACTTGTACCAATTTTTGCAACAAATCCCTAAAGCCTACTTGCCGTAACCTAAGCAATAAGTCCTTTATATTTGTCTTAACAAGCAACAAATCTATTATACTTGAACCCATTCATGCAACAAATCTCTTATACTTATACCAATTTAGCAAGAAATCTCTTATCCCTGTACCATTACAATGGCTAGTCAGACAAAAGTCCAAGAACTTGATGATGTTGTAAAATAAAATGCCATGTCATCTCTAACACCAAGACTGTCTGTCTTTTTCAGGGCCTAGAGGGCCAATCTGGGCCACCTGGCCCACCAGGATTACCTGGCCGACCAGGGCCACCAGGTCCAGCAAGCTCATCCAGGCTGGACGATGACCTTCTTATGGGCCCTGAAGGTCCACCAGGGCCCCAAGGTCCACCTGTAAGACACCTGTTTGATTTTTCATAATTGTGATACTGGTTACATAACTGACTTAATTAATACAGCAACTAACTTTTGTTAACATTCTTGTTTACATTAAAATATTTCATTTTTGGTTTTAAATTTATGGTGAACATAGTTAAAAGTATGGATTTGATTCAACATTCTAATTTAGCACATGCTAACGTTTAAGTCTTCTGCACTGTATGTTAACATTCAGGTTTTTAGCACCCGTCAACATTCATAGTTTTTGCACAAGTTAGCATTTAGGTTTTTGGCAAATATTGACATTCAGGTTTAAACTCCACAGGGACCTAAAGGAGAACGTGGTGAAGCAGTGGTAGGACCACGAGGTCCGCAAGGTTTTCAGGGCCCACCAGGTCCACCAGGCATTGGTCTGCCGGGCCCACCAGGACCACCAGGGGACGTCATCATTGGCAACAGTGGTAGCTCAGACCGTGTTATTACTGGGCCCCCAGGCCCTCCTGGGCCCCCCGGTCCTCCAGGTTATTCATTTGGATATGACAGTAACCAGAGCCAAATACCCATAGGTCAAACAGTGGGTGCTGGTGGCGTCAAGGTGAGTGGTGACAGTTGGTGTGTGTGGTGTGAAGGTAAGGTGACACAGTGGGTGTGAGTGGTGTAAAGGTGAGTGGTGACACAGTGGGTGTGAGTGGTGTGAGCGTGAGTGTGGTGACACAGTGGGTGTGAAGGTGAGTGGTGACAGGTGGTGTGAGTGGTGTCAAGGTGAGTGGTGACACAGTGGGTGTGAGTGGTGTAAAGGTGAGTGGTGACACAGTGGGTGTGAGTGGTGTGAGCGTGAGTGTGGTGACACAGTGGGTGTGAAGGTGAGTGGTGACAGGTGGTGTGAGTGGTGTGAGGGTGAGTGTGGTGACACAGTGGGTGTGAGTGGTGTGAAGGTGAGTGGTGACACAGTGGGTGTGAGTGGTGTGAGCGTGAGTGTGGTGACACAGTGGGTGTGAAGGTGAGTGGTGACAGGTGGTGTGAGTGGTGTGAGGGTGAGTGTGGTGACACAGTGGGTGTGAAGGTGAGTGGTGACAGTTGGTGTGTGTGGTGTGAAGGTAAGGTGACACAGTGGGTGTGAGTGGTGTGAAGGTAAGGTGACACAGTGGGTGTGAGTGGTGTGAAGGTGAGGTGACACAGTGGGTGTGAGTGGTGTGAAGGTAAGGTGACACAGTGGGTGTGAGTGGTGTGAAGGTAAGGTGACACAGTGGGTGTGAGTGGTGTAAAGGTGAGTGTGGTGACACAGAGGGTGTGTAGGTGAGTGTGGTGACACAGTGGGTGTGTGTGGTGTGTAGGTGAGTGTGGTGACACAGAGGGTGTGTAGGTGAGTGTGGTGACACAGTGGGTGTGAAGTTGAGTGTGGTGACACAGTTGGTGTGTGTGGTGACACAGTTGGTGTGTGTGGTGTGTAGGTGAGTGTGGTGACAGAGGGTGTGTAGGTGAGTGTGGTGACACAGTTGGTGTGTGTGGTGTGTAGGTGAGTGTGGTGACACAGAGGGTGTGTAGGTGAGTGTGGTGACACAGTGGGTGTGAAGTTGAGTGTGGTGACACAGTGGGTGTGAAGGTGAGTGTGGTGACACAGTGGGTGTGAAAGTGAGTGTGGTGACACAGTGGGTGTGAAGGTGAGTGTGGTGACACAGTGGGTATGAGTGGTGTGTAGGTGAGTGTGGTGACACAGAGGGTGTGTAGGTGAGTGTGGTGACACAGTGGGTGTGAAGGTGAGTGTGGTGACACAGTGGGTGTGAAGGTGAGTGTGGTGACACAGTTGGTGTGTGTGGTGTAAAGGTGAGTGTGGTGACACAGTTGGTGTGTGTGGTGTGAAGGTAAGTGTGGTGACAGTTGGTGTGTGTGGTGTAAAGGTGAGTGTGGTGACACAGTGGGTGTGAGTGGTGTGAAGGTAAGGTGACACAGTGAATTTAGTGGGGGGGAATGTATGTGAGTCACGATGTGAAGGTAAGGTGACACAGTGGGTTTGAGTGGTGTGAAGGTAAGGTGACACAGTGGGTGTGAGTGGTGTGAAGGTAAGGTGACACAGTGGGTGTGAGTGGTGTGAAGGTAAGGTGACACAGTGGGTGTGAGTGGTGTGAGGGTGAGGTGACACAGTGGGTGTGAGTGGTGTGAGGGTGAGGTGACACAGTGGGTGTGACTGGTGTGAAGGTAAGGTGACACAGTGAATGTGAGTGGTGTGAGGGTGAGGTGACACAGTGGGTGTGACTGGTGTGAAGGTAAGGTGACACAGTGGGTGTGAGTGGTGTGAAGGTAAGGTGACACAGTGAATGTGAGTGGTGTGAGGGTGAGGTGACACAGTGGGTGTGACTGGTGTGAAGGTAAGGTGACACAGTGGGTGTGAGTGGTGTGAAGGTAAGGTGACACAGTGGGTGTGAGTGGTGTGAAGGTAAGGTGACACAGTGGGTGTGAGTGGTGTGAAGGTAAGGTGACACAGTGGGTGTGAGTGGTGTGAAGGTAAGGTGACACAGTGGGTGTGAGTGGTGTCAAGGTGAGTGGTGACACAGTGGGTGTGAGTGGTGTGAAGGTAAGGTGACACAGTGGGTGTGAGTGGTGTGAAGGTAAGGTGACACAGTGGGTGTGAAGGTGACTGGTGTGAAGGTAAGGTGACACAGTGGGTGTGAGTGGTGTGAAGGTAAGGTGACACAGTGGGTGTGAGTGGTGTGAAGGTAAGGTGACACAGTTGGTGTGAGTGGTGTGAAGGTAAGGTGACACAGTGGGTGTGAGTGGTGTCAAGGTGAGTGGTGACACAGTGGGTGTGAGTGGTGTGAAGGTAAGGTGACACAGTGGGTGTGAGTGGTGTGAAGGTAAGGTGACACAGTGGGTGTGAAGGTGACTGGTGTGAAGGTAAGGTGACACAGTGGGTGTGAGTGGTGTGAAGGTAAGGTGACACAGTGGGTGTGAAGGTGATTGGTGACACTGGGTGCTGGTGACATGTAGCTAATATCCAACTTCCCATTTGGCCAAACAGGGTGCTGTTGTGTACCTTAACACCCAGGCCTTGATGCAGGTATCTTACAACCTGCCTGTTGGCACGCTGGCATTCCTTACCGAAGAAGAGGTTCTCTACCTCAGGGTCAAGGGTGGTTGGAAGGAAATTCAGGTGAGTGGACTATATGAAATATGGACAGTTTTTCTTAAAGCATATCAAGGATCCAACGTAACTATTTTAAAAAACTATTATTAAATTTTTTTAAAATTAAAATCAAATAACAGTTGATCACTAGGCAAATGGACAGTGTTTACATCTAATCAGTGAACAAATGAAATGTTTCATAAGTGATATGTTAGCTGATTTCTCTCATTATTTTGACATCATATGTGACCTTTGAACTTTGCAGCTGGGTCGCACAATTCCAATCAGAGTACCGCCAACAACTGTAAGTAGTCCTGTCTTGTATTTTTAGTTTAGCTGCACCCAATGATATACCACCCCATGTGGTTGTGTCAGTGTTAGCCACACTAGTCTCAATGTTATCTACACAATGTCAGTGTTTCACAGAATGTGGTTGTGCCAGTGTTTCTTCACAGAATGTGGTTGTGTCAGTAAACACATCTGACTTGTTGTTTTATAGAAAAAACTGTTTGTCTTGTCTCTATGTTATAAACAGAGTTTTTTAAAAAGGTCGACTCTTTCATTCAATTATAACACTTAAAGTACATATCACTAAACCACACAAACATCACAAAACCACACACATATCACTAAACCACACACAATCTTTAAACAACAGATGTCTTTGAATCAAATACACTGCACTATACTGCACAAACACATACCTATACATCACAAACACACATCTATACACAACAAACATACATATATACATCACAAACACACATCTATACACAACAAACATACATATATACATCACACACACCTATACATCACAAACACACATCTATACATCACAAACACATCTATACATCACAAACACACATCTATACACAACAAACATACATATATACATCACACACATCTATACATCACAAACACACATCTATACATCACAAACACACATCTATACATCACAAACACACATCTATACATCACAAACACACATCTATACATCACAAACACACATCTATACATCACAAACACACATCTATACATCACAAACACACATCTATACATCACAAACACATCTATACATCACAAACACACATCTATACATCACAAACACACATCTATACATCACAAACACACATCTATACATCACAAACACACATCTATAGATGACAAACACATCTATACATCACAAACACACACCTATACATCACAAACACACATCACTGCACTCACCAAACAGTCAGCCACCACTATCAATAATTGCTTATAAAATTAAAAAAAAATATTTCTCTTTGCTTGAAACACTCATATAGAGTAATTTACACTTGTTAATATATTTTTAAAAAACATGTTTGCTAATATATTCTTTACAAAACATTTACACTTGCTAATATATTCTTTACAAAACAAGTTCCTTTTAATCTGGCATGAAGATGCATTTTTGATCTTCTGGTCACATGATCATGTTAATTTCCATTGAATTTCATAAGACTATTCTGGTTCATTGGTTTTCATGAAGATATTGTTCAAATCTATCAAAAAGAAAAATGTTTGCTCAGTATCAACACTTGAACAGCACAGGAGTGTCGACGTGTTTAATATCATCTGCACAATATTAAATTTAAAACCTGAAACATTTTGATTAATCTTACATTTAGGCTATAGTTCACCATTTCATCTTACAATTAGGCTGTAGGTCACCATTTCATCTTACAATTAGGCTGTAGGTCACCATTTCATCTTACAATTAGACTGTAGGTCACCATTTCATCTTACAATTAGGCTGTAGGTCACCATTTCATCTTACAATTAGGCTGTAGGTCACCATTTCATCTTACAATTAGGCTGTAGGTCACCATTTCATCTTACAATTAGGCTGTAGGTCACCATTTCATCTTACAATTAGACTGTAGGTCACCATTTCATCTTACAATTAGGCTGTAGGTCACCATTTCATCTTACAATTAGGCTGTAGGTCACCATTTCATCTTACAATTAGACTGTAGGTCACCATTTCATCTTACAATTAGGCTGTAGGTCACCATTTCATCTTACAATTAGGCTGTAGGTCACCATTTCATCTTACAATTAGGCTATAGGTCACCATTTCATCTTACAATTTGGTCACCATTAGATCTTACAATAAGGTCACCATCTTACAATTAGGCCATAGGTCACCATTACATCTTACATTTAGGTCACCATTACATCTTATGATTAGATCACCATTACATCTTACATCTAGGCTATAGGTCAACATAACATCTTACAAATAGATAATTTAAAAAAAAAATCTAGCATATAGTTTCCATGACAACCACCCAGAGGTTACCTAGCTGGATTTTTTTTCTTATGAATTCAACTAATCTTGCAGTGCTTTAACAGATTGCCATGGCAACCAAAGCTTTTGTTTACCCAGCAAAATCTGACGACTTTAATTTAAATGAGTCCTGAAGTGTTTGTTTTTTTTTTGAGTGAAGCTAAGAGTGTTTTTTTTTTAATGAAATTACAGTGGGCTTGGGTTTTTGCTATGCTTAAGTTTGCATTGAGCTGGGGTTTTGGTTTAGATTAGCTGCAGCTTGCAATTATCTAAACAGAAAATCTGTACTCTTCTTAAAAATACATTTCTTTGGGATAAAAACAAATTCAATCTTAATATTGTTAAACGGCGACTGGTATTACATACAAAGTTAAGTGATGTCATGTGTTTTGTTTTTATCCTGAACGTTGGGTAGTTAGCGCAACCCTTGAGAACCTCTGTACTCTGTTTGTTGTCCTGTTGCTGAGCTAGCCATACTTCTGCTGGGTTCAGCTGTTTTGTGGTTCTCAAACTTGTCAGACTGTACCCTGTACTGAGTGTAGACGGCCAACTGATGAATGTTACAATGAGACTAGTTCTAGTGTGTGTTGGCCTTCACAGTGGGGTTTTCTCCCTTTAGCCCAGTGGTGTTTTATTTTTTAATAAATACTATTTTATTATGTTAAACTCTTTCACTGGAAACTCATTATTTAATGTGTTTTTTTCAACTCTAGTTTATAAATATGAACTAAACATCTTTGTCCAGATTTATGTGACATTTTTATGCCAATTTGGCCAATCCCATTTTTTAAAATTGTGTCAGGTTTGTATCAACTGATTTGTTTTTGTTTTTCTTTTTTTTCCCTAAACTTTGTATGGGGGAACTTGCTTTGGTTTGATGCATGCAATAGAGCAATATACCAGAGGACAACACAGTCAGAAGGGGGGAGAGTTCCTTGCCTGTCCACAGCAAGACTGGCACCATATATGACACTGATGCCGCAGAACTGGCCAGGTACAAGCAGGAACTTGAGGAGAGGAAGAGAAGAAGGGAGAGGGAAAGAATACGAAGACTAAACGAAAGTAGAGATAACGGAGACGAACGGCGGAATCAGTGGAGGATAGAGGAGGAGAGGAAGAGAGAGAGAGAGAGGGTACAGGCTGAACAGGAGAGACAGAGAGTAGAGAGAGATCGCTTGTTAAAAGAGGAAGCTGAGAGGAACAGAGTCTCAGAGGAAAGGAGAAAATTGGAGGCTGAGAGACAGAGAAGGTTGGACGAGAGGAAGAGACTGGAGGAGGAAAGAGAGAGACAGAGGCAAGAGTTAGAGAGGGCAGAGAGAGAGAGGAGGCTGCTAGAGAGGGAGAGGCTAGAGCGTGAGAGGAGATTGCAAGGGAGACAGGTGCCAGAGAATCAGAGATGGAGGCCGTCCACTAACCAGAACATTTACAACAGACGAGACCAGCAGACGCCGTGGCTTAGTGTGCAAGATAAATTCCGCCTGCCAAACCAAGCCGTGTCTGTGACCCATGTCCGAGTGGTCGGCACTGACCAGCAGGACGAACAGGTCCAAGACAATAAGCCACGGGTAATGACTTTTGTTTCGGTACCCTGCCAGACTGCTTACTGCGTGCTCATAGGGTCAGGGGCTTCATAAAATGCTTACCTTAGAGTCACTGATTTCTTATCATAGTCTTTAGCCTCTGCTCTACTATAGCCACGTGTATACATGGTAGGCAGCGACATATTTATCCTGGTCCAAAGCCACTTAACAATAAAAAATAATGCTGATTATTGTCAATGTTATTTCAACCATTGTTGACAAATAGTATTTATAAAACTCACATGTTTAACATCACAGCCTTAAAAAATGCTTTACTTTAATCTATATATTTTTAAGCGTAGTTTATTTTTTAAGACAACATGGAGTATTAATTTTTTTTTTAAATTTAAATATATTTAAATTAATAAATTTATAAAATGTGTATTTTAAAACAAAAAAAAATTAAATCTTCAATACTACTTAATTGTTAACCAAGAATCTATTCTGGTTTTTTTTTTTCTATAATATATATTTTTTTATTTTTATTTTTGAATAGACCGAAGCTATTTTAAAATTTAAAACAAAATGATTTATTCTGTAAAAGTAAAGTTTTAAAAGTGTTAAAGTAAATGCGAATAAAACTTTGGCTGACCATGAAAAGTGTGCACACATCTCAGCTGCTTTAGCTACTGCATGAATATTCATGACTCATAGAGAAGTTTTCACGTGTAGTTCTGTACTGCTGATGTACAGCTTAATAATTCATTACACATTCTTGTTCGTTTTTTTTCTTTGTACTCTGATTTTTCATTTTAAAAAAAAAACTTTATTTGTTTTAGGTAGAAGAATTTACTCTTGTAACTGTGGTAACAAACTTCATTCTAAGACAACCTTTAACCTTAAGATAGTTATAGACTCACTTTGGTTATGGGCAGTTAACTTTTTTCTTGTCACCACAGTGGTTTCCCTTGATCCTTAGTAACACAGACACACTCAACTAATGAATGTTTTTCTGTTCTTTTTATTATTGTTGTTGTTTCTATTTTTCATGATAACATAAGAGCTTAGGATGCTGTCTAGCAGATGTATGTCATCAGCTATACGTGATAAAAAGCTTTCATCTTTGCTTATCTTTTTCAAATTATATTAGCTAGCAGCCAACCATTCTTAATGAAGTTAGCTAAATAAATACTTTAATAATTTACATCACATATTTCTACTTAATATGCATTCAATATAAATACCACAAAAATATTAATTACAATAATTGATGATAATGTTTAGATAAATTAATTTAAGTTTATTGAATAAAAAAATAATGATTAAATAACAAAACAAAATTTTTAGAAGGCAAATACAAAAACTATTGAGCCCAATGTTGGGAGGTAGGGGACATGGGGTTGCATGCAGACTGTACTTGATGTGTTTTTTCTCTCTTATCTATCTCATAAGCCATTTCCATTTCAGTCCAACCCAAGTTCTGAGACAGTAAGTTTATACCTGGCTATTGGCCAGGCCACTGGCCAGGCGGCCACAAACTTGGTGTGCTCTGCATGCTAGCTAGATCCAGTGCAATCCATTAACACCAGCCGATGTTTTACAATCTTTTTGGTTTCCATAACAGATTTAATTTAGATTAAATTAGAGTAGGACCCAAAGACTACTACAGCCATTCTGACAGCTACAGCAAATCTGGTACCTAAAGTTAACTGGCTGTTTAAAATTATGACAATCCTTATAAAAACAAACATGAATGACTGCTGAAATTGGCTCCCAATTAGCAACTGAAAAATTTGATTTAGTTTTTGATTATTTTATTTGTTGCACCGGTACACTTTTGGGTTTGAAATTTAATTTTTGTTTTTTTTAAACACAAAAAGTTAAAACATTGTATGTGTTACTGTCAGTTGTCATTAAATATAGGCTATATTTAACCTTAAACAACCTTCATTTAAATAATTGTGATAATCAATGGCTTAAACTTAAATGTTAAAATTGCTGACTATGTTTGTTTTAATCTAATTAAAAAAAGGTGTTTTTGGCAGCGATATTTCAATAACAATTGCTTTATGTAAATACTTAACATTATTAAAATGTGAACTGGCAATTGAATTTCTCTTTGTGCTAACTTTATTTGGAAACTAACTTTTGGCCAGGTTTTTAACAAACCAACAACTAACTGCTTTTAGCTAACCAAATTTCCCGTCTGCTTTGAGTGAAGTGTTTCTAGCTGTAGACCTCTTGTCATCTCTGCATTATGACAGTGCCAACTGTAGACCAACAGTTTTTATTTGAATTCTTATAAGTGTAAATTTCAAAACATTTTTTTAGAAATCTGTAACAATTGCATTTTTAAACATCTGCTTACATTTCTAAACTGAATTCTTTAAAATCATTTGTCTTTTTCCACAATATCTTAACAAATTCATTTTAAATTTTCTAGAACTGTACTTTGTAATTTGTCTATACCAATCATCATTATTTTAATTGTACTGGGCTTACTCCAAGTTACAATTAGTTTTGATTATTATGCTGTTACTTTCCGCAGACTACACCGCTACCTTCAATAAATGTTCCCATTGCTGCATCACTTGTTCAAGGTCCCATGGTAACTGACTCATTTAATCTCTTATAAAAGTTTTGTAAAGAGTTAAAGCTGTTTTTTTTTTAGTAAAAGAATAATACAAAATACGATGAAAAGAATGTAAACTTTTCTAATAAAAGAATAGTATAAAATGCTATGAAATAATGTAATTTTTTTTTCTAATAAAAGAATAACATAAAATGCTTTTGGAAATCATGCAAACTTTTCTTGTACAAGAGTAATATAAAATGCTCTAAAATGATGAGTTAACTTTTCTCGTACAGCTCCACCTGATAGCACTGGATAGGTCCATGTCTGGTCACATGAGAGGTTTAAGTGGTGTAGACCGCGAGTGCCACAAAGAGGCACTGCAGCATAAGCTCAGTGGATCATACAGGGCGTTCATCTCAACCACAGACCAACATCTTAGGTCTATCATTCATTACCAAAGGGACAGGCAACTTCCCATAGTTAATCTCAAGGTAGGCAGACCATTGGTTTAAGGTAGGCAGACCATTGTTTTAAGGTAGGCAGACCATTGTTTTAAATTTCTTTTTCAGGAGATGTTTTACTTTACCAACAAAACACCACATTTTTTGAGTGATGATTTTAATTTATTTTCACTTAATAATTGAATTTTTGTTTTCATATGTCTAATAGCAGCAGTATAATATTTTATTGGCCTTTAATTTAATGTTTTTATTGAAAAAAAAAGAGTTGTAACCTACATCATAAATAACACAAGATCATTAGGCATCATGAAATATGGTATAGCACATATGACTGAGTTTTAAAATTAAAAGGATTGTTGTTTTAGTTGCAATATAGTTCTAAATGAAAAGTTTGATAGATTATGTAGGTGATTTCTGTCAGTGTCTGAACTTGTGTTAATAATTTTCCTGTCAACCCCCAGAATCAGATTTTGTTTAATTCCTGGGAAGCTTTAACTGACGGCAATGGCGCAGTGTTCAACAGCGAGACGCCAATTTACTCTTTTAGCGGCCGGGATGTCATGCTGGATAGTACATGGTCAGTCATTGGTCAATTTTTAACCAACTTTTTGTCTAATACTAATATTAGCAGTCATTGGTTAACTCCCAACACACACTTTATATTTAATACTACTGTTGTTACCGTTATTGAATAAATTAAATAAATAAATTCAATATTAGTAATATGTCAATTTTAATATATATTTCATATTTAATACTAATATTAATATTATCACTTATTGGTAAATTTTTAAAATAATTTTATATTTAATACAAATATTATCAGCGATTGGTCAATTTTTAACATAAATTTTTGTTTAAGGGGATACACTCTGTTTATTTCTATTTTTTAACAATTTAAGATCTTACGCCTTTTGAATATTTTTACATTTTTACCATGTTTGCACATGGAATTAAGAATTAAACAGAAAAAAAAACGGTTGAAAACAATTACGGTTGTCATGGAAACCCGAAGAAACCTCTACCAGTTTGAATTTTTGGTTCTTTTAAAAACGCTACGGTTTTTCAGTATATATAAAAACTTTTGTCACTACTACTTTTTGATAGAACTACTCTTCAGAATTCCACAAAGTCCAAAAAATTGCACCCATTTTAGTATGCAAAAGTTTTAAAATTTGCATACCATTTGCAATTATAGTTACTGCTGAAGCTATAAAATAGTTGGTTTTCTTATATATTACTACTTTAAGTTAGTGTTAGTTTATTAAATTTTTAAACAAAACATATTGCTTCTTCGTGATTTAATAATTGTAAGGTAACGAACATCAAACATATTCCAGCTGTAAAAATATCTGCTTATGTTGTTTTTCAAGTGCAAAATGTTTTTTGTTCTTTTTGATATAATTTTTTACTTTTTTCTCAAAACTTTTTTGAAACTGTGATTAAACATTTTTAGACATTTAAAACTAACTGCTTGCTGAGTTTACACAAAAGTTTTTAGTAAAGCTACATAGTATATACCATGTTCGTGAGGCAAGTAGTGGGGGCTTTTTTAGTTCTCTGATTATTTTTAGACAAAAGTGTAGGCCACACGGGGTTAAATTTTGTAAAAAAAAAAAATGGCCACTAGAAGAAATTTCATAACTAAAAAGATTTTTTAAATCACTAGTTTTTCATCTAAAGTACCTTCTTACAGACAGTTACTAAAAATGTGAAAATCTGTGCGTAAACATTTACTTTTCCATAAAAAAAAGTGAATTAGCTGACAATTGTTAAAAGATTCTTCAAAAAAGTACACTAAATAAACTATCTAAAATATTTTTTATTTTTAGAATTATAGAAAATAAGTTCTCTATCAGGTGCCCCCCCTCCCCCTAAAAAATAAGTTAAAGCAAATGAAAATATAATAATCTTTAATCAATAAAACAAAATAATACTTTTGCATGCAATATTTTCAATTGGTGAACAACGTTTGAAAAACAGCAAACTACAAGTGTGGTTTAAATTCAAACTATACATTATTTATCTGACAACCTCACTTATGTGTATCTAACCATTTCCATGTTTAATTTAGGCCACAAAAGATCATCTGGCACGGCTCAAATGAGAGAGGAGAACTTTTGACAGATAAAATCTGCAACAAATGGCACACAAGGTCCAACTCAACAGTAGCCGCGGCCAGCTCGCTAATGAAGCACAAGCTGCTGAACCAAGAGGAATACACCTGTAATAATGCCTTTATTGTTTTATGTATAGAAATCTCATCCAGGCGAGACTGAAGTGTTGGGGTGGGGGTGAATCTGGTCATGTGAGGTGTGTCTGGTCTATCTGTGTGAGCCGTTGGGTGGGGTTAGACTGCTCACTCTCTGCTTGGTGTCTCTGCTGTGTACATGACATACTCTCCCTTTGTACACTTTGATGTACACATGAGAGACTGACAGCCATAAAATATCTTGTGTAAAATAGCTTTTGAAGAAGTTCACGGTGTGGTGTACAGCTGATATGGACTTGTTTGTTTTTTAGAACAAAAGTGTCAAATATGAAATGAAGGATTTCAAATCCCTAGCACTAAATGAAGATACAACTCTGTCTTTGCCAGTATTATGTTTTAGTCTACAGAGTGGGTACAAAATGTTGAGTTAAATAGAGGGAAGCACAAAGTTAGATGTTTCTCTTTAAGTATTTCAATTATTGAGGCGTACTTAGAAAAATGTTTTATTTTTTTTATTGCATAAAAATTGGAACAAAATGTATATCTATTATAAAAAAAGTAATAAAATTAAATGTAATAATGTGACTAATTACCAAAGATAATTAAAAAAGATAAAGTAATGTATCGAAGATAAGAAAACTGAATGGGTTAGTTTGTTTGTGAAATGATTATAACTGTTATCATGTATTTTAACGAGGTGAGAAAAAAGAGCGGTTATAGTCCTGCGCTCTGGTCTATTTATTTTCATGTGATTAGTTGAGCTTTTATTTTTTTTTTCAAAATGGTTTTTATGTGTGCTGTTTCAAAACTCCTGTTTCATCTGTGTGCTAAGTGTGTGTACATTCAGTCACATCTTTTCATGTACTAAGCTGTTTGTGTGTACATAGTCCTCCAGTGTACAAGCTCAATGTGTACAATCTGAAGTAGAGGTTGGAGTGAGGGCTCTTTAATTACATGTAAATACATCTCTCTCTGATCACTAGAAGGTGGGGGACTGCCTGAATGGGTTCTTTTAGCTGCTGGCTTTGAGCTAAAGCTGCCTCTAAAACTGAGCTTAAACTGTATCCAGCTGTGAGCTAAAGCAGCCCATAACTGAGCTTAAGCTGCCCCTGAGCTAAAACTGCCCCAGCTGTGAGCTAAACTTGCTCCCAGCTTTGAGCTAAAATGCCCCCAGCTGTGAGCTAAACCTGCCCCCAGCTGTGAGCTAAAGCAGCCCAGTGTCCCCAGCTGTGTAAACCTGCCCCCAGCTATGAGCTAAACCTGCCCCCAGCTGTGAGCTAAACTGCCCCCAGCTGTGAGCTAAAGCAGCCCATTCAGTGTCCCCCAGCTGTGTCAACCTGCCTTGTGAAGTGAATGTTGAGAGAGGCCAGCTGATGTGATACTTGTTAACATGGCATAATCAATCAATTCTTGGCAATACGATGTTCTAGCAAGTCATGTTTTTACCCACCGTTTTGTTCCTAGATGGTCTCTTGTTCTTTTGTCCACTACAGTATATGCCATTTGTCCACTACAGTGTTTGTCATTTGTCCACTACTGTGTTGGTCATTTGTCCACTACTGTGTTGGTCATTTGTCCACTACTGTGTTGGTCATTTGTCCACTACAGTGTTGGTCATTTGTCCTCTACTGTGTTGGTCATTTGTCCACGACTGTGTTGGTCATTTGTCTACTACTGTGTTGATCATTTGTCCATTACTGTATTGGTCATTTGTCCTCTACTGTATTGGTCATTTGTCCATTATCATATTGGTCATTTGTCCATACTGCATGCCATGTACACAGGATATTTTCTGTTTTCTTCATGTAAGACATTAGCTCTGTATTTATCATCCTCATAGAGAAGACTTTAGTAGCCCATACTGTTCATGTTTGTTTTAGTCATTTTTTAACTACACAATTAGTACCAAAACATTGTGATAAAGTATTTCATTTCATAAAAGAGTTCTCTTGTTTTTTTTAATATCTGCTTGTGGTCAATTGTCTAAGCTGGTCTGAAGTATGTTGCCTTGACCTTCAAACTTGGTCATGTGACAAACAATTTTCTCTTTCTTTCCATGCCGTGCTAGAGTGTATATTAGCATAACACATTCAAATGTATATTATTGCCTAACGCTTTGTTAGATTAACCTCCCTTATGTTATAAATTAACTCCCTTACAACTGAGTTACTGTACCTATCAGAGAATATCTTTTATATTTATGCCCTAACATGTTTATGTCTCTGCTTCATACTCTTACAATATGTTTTTGTTTTATAGCTTCACATTTTATTCAATGAAGTAAACTGAATGTATATTTTTAACAAAGATAAGATTAGTTATATAGTTGGCTTTAGTTGATTCTATTTAACTATTGACGTTCAAATAATTCGATTTTTTAAGTTTTTCATTTATGTTAACTGTATTTTTAAAAATAATTATGATAATTTTTAAACAAGCATGAATAGATGACTAGATCTAGATGTATTTTTTACAAACCATAGTAAGCAGTGGTCCAAAAACATAAAAAACCGAATATATTTGTCTTTCCAAATCCTGGATTGGCAGTATATTGATGGTTCATCTTTTGTAACTAACTTCCCTGCTTTATCAAAGAAACATTTCAATTATGTCATTTACAGCTTCATTTTTTAATATATTAAACTATAAATTTGCTAAATCTAACTAAATTATTAAATTATTATGAAATGTTAAACACTTGTCTAATTTAGGTATGTATGAAATAAAATCGTTAGTGTACCATAAATGAAAAGAGTGAGAAACATTTCCTCTTAGTATTTCATTTTTTTTTCAGTTACTGATAGATAAGAAATGATTTTTTATGTGGAGATGGTGACAAATGTAAACTGGTAAATCATTTCAAAAAGCTGCTTGTAGTCGAATGCTCTCCCTTTAAGAAAAAAGGTCAACCTCATTTCTGCGATTGTCAAATCTGTAATGTTTCTCTAGCTGTTGTTACTATATTTAGATTATAAGTGAAGAGTTCTGTGTAAACTTACACCACTAAACAGAACTGAAGATTTAAATAAAAACCAAAAAACAATGGTGCTACAATTCTATCATTATATATAAAATATGCAACAAAATTTTAATTTGGCTTGGCGTTAATTTTTCTTGTTTCTTATTGTAATTGTTGTGATGTTGTTAATATGTTTACATTGTTCAATCAAAGCTTTTGTCTAGTTGATGAGTGTGGTATTTCTTAGGTAAACTTCCACACAACTGCCATTGGCTCACAATAGCGAACTATAGGAAGTCTTGATGAGTACCCATCATGCTAATGACGAATACACTTTAACGTTTTATGCATCTGGACTTCATGCTTGATGTAAATGTTTGAATTTGTCCAAGGACGACAAAAAACTAATTATTACTTCTGCAAAATCTCAACCTCACAACTGTAAACACTAGACACACAACTCCAGCTCCTCTGTCTGACTAGAAAGATATTCATCTCAATGCTCTCTTTACTCTTATATATTATTTGGAATATTTCATAAGTAAGTAAAGTTCCCTTACAAACCTGATGGTATATGGTGCAAGTAAAGTAGATTTCTTCGTTTCTGTGACCTTGGCAAATTAATGGATAGCGTGGTTAGATACCCATTAGAGCTGGGTGAGCTCAGGGACGAGATTTTACTTAGGTCACAATCTCTGCTTACTATTTTATTTGCCTGTGGGTTTACAGTCTAATTATTGCTCATGAGGCAATTTCTTTGATACTTTTCAGATGTGTGCATTAATTTTGGAATTAAGAAACAAATTGTGACATTTAGAAATGGTTATAAATTTAGTTACAAGATACTTGATAACAGACACAATTTATTCACATTTTCTGAGTGATTGGGGTGTGGTTACATAGGAGCTTACATTTTGTATTTCTTAAACAATGTAATACTTATTACGTGAGAGATTTGTTTATCGGTAAATAGCACAAACTTCTTACTTATTTTACCCAATCCACAAAACTTTACAACGTTGGATGCAACTCCCTTTGTATACGTTCCACACAATTTGTTACCATAAAAAGATTATGAAACTTATAATCTGAACACAAATCTATTACAACACTACTAAAAGTAAAAATTAATAACAATGACTTAGACTTAGATTGAGTTCAAATAAAGTGTAGGAAAGCCTCGGCAAACTATTCACAAAAATGTACAGAAACTAGAAATGCTGCAACAGTAGAAAAAAAAAAACTTTAAAAAATTAAAACGAAGACATCAGAAGATAATAACAATAGATATTAATAATATTAATTAATTTAATTAATAATTATAGATAGATTATATAATATTATAATATATATTATATTTGGTAATCTATCGTTTTAGCGTAATCAACTCACTACATAAAAGACGACGGCTATTACAATTTAACAAGAAAACAACAATACATAATCTTTCGACCTAGAACAGGCCACAACAGACTAAATCAACACACGCACAAAAAACTGAAGGTTGGGTGTAGCGAAATGTGCCCTTGTGGCAAGGCCCCGGAAAACACGGGGCACGTACTCCAGGAATGTACTCTGTATAGCCAGGCAAGAGTCAGACACTGGCCCCAGCCCACCCCACTCAGGGAAAAATTATATGGGACACCTGACAAACTGGAAACCACAGTCCGGTTTGTCCACGAAGTTGGACTTGTTGTCTGAATCCTCCACCATATTCAAAAATTAAGAACGAAGAAGAAGAAGAAGAAAGCGTAATCAATTCGGCTGAAGTAGTAATGTAGTTGTAAGGTAAAGATTACCCAATTATCTTTAGTATTTTAGTACAATATCCAAAAATAATTTAAAATATATTAATATTTATTATTTAGCCCATATTCACTAGGAGCCTTATCCCTACATTACTTGTGCCGGCCGAATTGATTAAGCTTAAACAATAGATTACCATGACATGAAAGAAACTAGCCAATTTATTTCTTGTCTTCATCAGAATACAAAGTTTTTGATGAAGACATTCAAGTCTTGACACACACACAAGTTTAATGGAGGGAGGCGCCATTTTGTTTGTTTACATTAGACAAGGGGAGAGAACTAACAGTTACAGATGGATCACCACAAACCCTCCCCACAATAATTTCCTTCAGAGTCTGATCCACTGTGGAGGTGTGCTAACCACCCCACATACCCTAGCATGTATACAGTAGCTCCACTGGAGCCTGGACATGTACATGTGGTGTACGTGTACTTGGACCAAACTCTCCTCTTATGTTTGTGAGTCCATTGTCCTACAGAGACCTGTTTAGAACAGCCATGAGGATGTGACACTATAACGGTTAACTTGTCCTCTTCAACAAATCTCCTGTATTTGTCCCTTACCTTCCTCCATAGAACATCAAAGTGCTGACACATCTTGTCCAGTTCATTAAGCAACTTCAAGTCACATGACACACATATAAACAAACACCAGTCTCCCTTAATGTCTGACCAATCATGCACCATCCAGCCATCAAGACTGACCCCAGGACTTTTATTGTCATCAAAACCTACAACACAATTGGCCTGTGTCGCCTCACTGTCATCAAACACCAAGTGTGTGGCTGTTACCACACAAATCACCCCCCACACTTTGCTGGGTGTGTCCGAGTGTTGACACTTGCCACATTGACAAGTGCCCTTGTTGTGTCTCTCTGTGTACTTGAACACACGCCGCACCCTCCCCGTCCCTGTCCTCAACACGTCACTTCCTCTGGTGTTATAAAATGGATACTGACCACTGAAGCATGGAGCAGACTTTGGTCTCTCTAGACTGGTGTACTTGACCTTTATCAGGACCGTTAGGGCAGACAAAGCTTTGATTACCTCCAACATGATGACGTCACGGTAGCGTGAGGGGAGATGACCCAAGTTAAAATCATTAACAGGTATAAAGTTGACATGACCTGGATTTTTCTTACAGCCGATACAGTGCTTGTGTAAATCAGCTTCACCTCCATAGCAGATCTCAGCTAATTGAGATAAAGGGTAAATAATTATATACATCGATAATGTTTTTCAAAAACAGTCTACACTGTAGTATATTTTTAAATGATCAATATTTAAGCTAATATTATTATCAATTTAAAAGTAATCATAAATGACTATAAAAATGTTTATGACATGAATAAATAAAAAAAATTTAATAGCTAAGGAATATTACCAGATTAAAATAACACATCATTTACACAGTGAATGTTTACATAAAACATTTTAATAAACATTTTAGTTGCTTACCTGGGACTAAGCCAGATTTTCTTTGTAGTGTCTCCATTTTTAGATCTTTTAAAGTTGTTATTTTCTGAGAAAGAAAATGAATTTTAGACTAAAGAATTTACCAGCTGTTGTTAAAATGATGGTAATACATTTCTACAAATTAAGATAGAGTTGCAGAATTTATATTTTGATCTGTATGTTATAATTTTCTGCTTTTATATTACATTTATTATACCTTCAAGATCATTTGAAATTTAATTTTTCTTAGAAGTCCTTGCATTGACAATGTAAATAAATGTTAATTCTAAAGTAATGTTTGACACCATAGATAATCTATTTTTGCTACAAACACACAACATAATGCTGCTGTTGTGAACAGAAGATTACAATACTGGTCTATGAGGGCACAATACCATCACACATGATCTATTCAATGTTTACCTTCGTTAAGCTACAAATAATATTGTTTATCCTTACCTAGAACAGCAGCAACAAATTATCTTTCAGTCTGTTGTCTCAAATTCTAAACATTCTGCAAAACTCAGGGACAAAAATATAAAAATAAAAATCTTTACACAATTTCATAGTCTTTAGCTCAACAATAACCATAAGTTGCTTAATTTCTATATAATTATTTTTAAGTCATTTTCAATATCTGATGGTTTGTACTTCAATATGTGGTGTCACTGATTAGTAATGACATATAGAGAAACACACAAATGAAAACTCACCGATGGTCGTGAAGATATGTGGGTTGAATTTAACAATTTTTTTATATGCTGTCTAATGTTGTCAGAGTCTTTGTAACATACCGTCAATTATTTGATTGCGTGCACATATACTTCTGTTTACTTTCTAATATAATGAGGATTATCCTAAAATAAATAACAATAGTTCAGGCTAGAAATTTTGAAATTATATCAAGTTCCAATTTTGTAATGAATACACACTTTTAAATAGTCCTACTTATTTCCACATTATAAGTTGAACACATCAAATACCTGTAGCTAGTGACAAACAAATTACTAAGCCTTAATTTAAGGTTACACTAATTATCATCTTATATGAGATAAACAATTGGTTATTTTTTTAGTCAAGTAATTACTAATGAGTTTGGATAATGTTTACAACTATAAGAACTTAAATATTTACTATTATTTACCTATATACTATAGTATATAGTATATAGTATATAGAGATCTATAACTTCATAAGCCTACATTAGGCGTGGTGCAATGTTTAAAAGATGCAGTTCAACAAATAGCTTTTAATAATGCTGATACAAAATGCAAACTGTATTATGGTAAATATTATCATGACTAGCTGATCATTAAATTACATTTTTTTTAAATTGCATTAATCATAATAATAGTCATAATAATAGTAATAGCTCTGGTTAAGTTTAGGCCAGTTTAGGGTCAAGAGCGGACCCTTTTGGTTCCCGGTAGTCTTGCACCTCCACTTCCCCACGCCATCAACGTTATATAAATAAACTAAACTATTCAATAATGTGCTTTAAAATTTGGTAATCCCTTAGTTTAGCGTCGGTTATTATTCCGGAATCGTATAGCAGTAAAAAACAGTGAAACAATAACAAAGTCTGTGACACACTTCCGGAATTCACCGGAAGTACCGTAAACCATACTTTATTTGGCGTCTTCTTTTATTTTTTAACAGAATGTTTAAAATTTGAATAGATTTATTTTTGTAATCATTTTTACATTTTGTAATCATTTTTACTATTTTCGTAATCTAGATTTTTTTACTTGGCCTAGCAGCTAGATATCTAGCTTGATCTAGATTTAATTAATTAATGGTCGCAAATCCGCTGCAAGCCAAAAACATTAAATTATTACATTTGATACATTATTTATATATATATATATGTTTTTATTTTTAGATCTACTAATTTAAATCTACTATTATATTTATTCTTGTTTCCTTTAGTCGATTAAACTTAAAAAATTAAAACATTAATTTACTACAATCGACTTTCAATTTATTTATATTTCAATGGTCAAATAAACCATGGTTTACCGTAACTCTAGTTACCGAAACTCAACAAACATTACCCGATAATTTCCGACGCTAAACTAAGGGATTACCTAAAATTTATTTTGATTTGAAAAAATGTTAGGCTTATAAGTTATATAGGTCTAGAAAATAATTCTGTTTTAATTATGGCTTACCCTTTTTAGTTACGAGCTTCGTCTCTTTTCCCTGTGAATGCTGGGATATCTAGAATTTCCGTTTGCGTGGATATAAATATCACTTCTTAGAAATGTATTTTTAGATTTTTTTTCTTTCCAAAATGAAATAACTCGCCACGTCATTTGGAGTGGTCTTCACACACAAAGAAGGAAAGGAATAAAGATGCGCAGATTTAGATCTATTATATTATAATATATAGACAAATGGGGACAGCATCGCCCAGCGCTAACCCAAAAGTTTCTAGTTCGAGTCCGGGTTCAAATCAATAGAACGACCATGAGTCTACCAAGCTCTGATGGGCACTCAACTAACTTTGGGGGAAACAAAAGGCGGCTGTGCATAGTGCTGACCATATTATTTCACTGTATATAGAAATTGTATGTTTCTAGTAATTTATTTTAAATTAAAAAAAAAAAAACAACAACAACAACCTAATAGCGTTAAAAGAAAATACAGTTCTCGTGTTAGTCATCATAAAAAAGATACAATAGGTAATGTAATAAATTATAGCTATACTTATTATTATGTTAATATTATGCATTATATATGTGTGTCCTTTTAAATTTTGTTTGTACCAAGTGACGCTGTGATTTGTGCTTTAAAGGTTATAAAGTAACATGTGTATGTGCTATTACATAATTCCTACTTGTATCATATCCGAATGGCACGACATAGACAATAAATTACGGGGATGTTTGCCTGAAAGTTTCATGTTCACATCGGAGTCAACCCAGCCCTGATGGGTACCTGACTCACCTTAGGGAAAGGAAAATTGGTTGAGCGTTGTGAAATATGAAGTGTTTTGTATGAGTATGAGTGTATCTGAGTGTTTACTTAATTATACGTTTAGAGCCCTTATGAAGCAAATGGCTCACTACTGAACTCGTTGGGCAGCTCTCTTTAGTTAGGCCTACATAAGCCCAGCAGCCCTTGTATGACCGGCTTTTCTTTTCCCCTGGGGATTCCTGTCTAACGCTTGACTTGCGATGGGATCCTCTTTTGTTCTCAGATCATGCAGGGTCCATCCTCATTTGCGGGATTTGCCCAGTGGCGGAACTAGAAAAATAAGGCTCCCCCGCAAAAATAAAATATTAGGGCTCATATATATATATATATATATATATATATATATATATATATATATATATATATATATATATATATATATATATAATCTATATCCTTACTGAATAATTTATTCTATTTAATAGCAATATACAACCATTCTGAGACAACAAAACAGACAAAATTAGTCCAAACTCATTTTGGGCCAGAAATAATTAAGTCTATATTAAGTTATGCTGGTCAAAAGTATATAAAGACGTAAGCTTGATTTGTGAATGGTTTCTCGCGTTATGTTTATTTTTATAGTTTTTTGGGTTTTTTTAATATTAAGTTTGAAAACATTGATTTTTATAGCTATACGATTGTTTAGTACTTCTTATTTAAATAATAATTGGGTGAATCAATTGCTTTTTACTTTACAAAACTATTTAAATGAGCTTCATGGAAACCCTTATTTTAAAGGTAAGTAAGTCATGGAAGTAGTGTGAACGTTTGCCTTCCTTTCAAACTATAGCTCTTGTAGATTTTAAAATATTTTTCTACGCAACAGTGTGTGATAGTAAGTTTAGATCAATATCTGCTATAGTAGATTTTTTTTTACTAAACCACTTTCAAGTTGCATGAAAAACATATTTTATGAAAAAAAGAGTGTTTTTTGGTCGGAACTGAGCCCCTAAACGACCTGCCCCCCCTCCCCCCACCGCATTGCGGGGTCTGGCGGCATGGTGGTTCCGCCCCTGATTTGTCCCTGCTAATTCATTAGATGAGTACTAATGCACTTATGGAAATAAACAAAGAATTATGGAAAAATGACAAGTTATGAAATTTAGTAACTTTTTGTATTGTTTAGAACCGTGTTCCTGTGAAAAGAAAGTTTAGTCTCGTCCAGGTTGTTGACGGGAAATGAAGTCCCATCTAGGTTTTTAAAACCAGGATGTAAGCTAGTCATATTTAAGTTAATAGATAGGATATTAAATTGATCGTGTCTGAACCGTGAATGGCGTTTTTTAAGTGATTGTGTTAGTCATGCTTAAAAAAGGATAGGAGTGAAACAGCATCAGTGATCTTGTTAAGTGATTTGACCAGTTTTGTTTCTAAGTTGTATAGAAAGTGTATCTGATAGGGTAACCTTAACAGGGAGATAAACGAAGTGGTATAGATAGTGTATCTGATAGGGTAACCTTAACAGGGAGATAAACGAAGTGGTATAGAAAGTGTATCTGATAGGGTAACCTTAACAGGGAGATAAACGAAGTGGTATAGATAGTGTATCTGATAGGGTAACCTTAACAGGGAGATAAACGAAGTGGTATAGAAAGTGAATCTGATAGGGTAACCTTAACAGGGAGATAAACGAAGTGGTATAGATAGTGTATCTGATAGGGTAACCTTAACAGGGAGATAAACGAAGTGGTATAGAAAGTGTATCTGATAGGGTAACCTTAACAGGGAGATAAACGAAGTGGTATAGATAGTGTATCTGATAGGGTAACCTTAACAGGGAGATAAACGAAGTGGTATAGAAAGTGAATCTGATAGGGTAACCTTAACAGGGAGATAAACGAAGTGGTATAGATAGTGTATCTGATAGGGTAACCTTAACAGGGAGATAAACGAAGTGGTATAGAAAGTGTATCTGATAGGGTAACCTTAACAGGGAGATAAACGAAGTGGTATAGAAAGTGTATCTGATATGGTAACCTTAACAGGGAGATAAACGAAGTGGTATAGAAAGTGTCTCTGATAGGGTAACCTTAACAGGGAGATAAACGAAGTGGTATAGAAAGTGTATCTGATAGGGTAAATTTAACAGGGAGATAAACGAAGTGGTATAGAAAGTGTCTCTGATAGGGTAACCTTAACAGGGAGATAAACGAAGTGGTATAGAAAGTGTATCTGATAGGGTAAATTTAACAGGGAGATAAACGAAGTGGTATAGAAAGTGTATTTGTTAGTGTGCCGCTCACTGGGACATAGGAACAGAGAACCCAGTCTTAAACTAAATCTTACCAAACTATCCTTTCATATGCCGAAGGCACAGATAAACTTTACTCTAACTACCCTATGGACCTAGATATTGCTAGTTTATAAATGGTTTTAAATTAGATTTCATAATATTTGATATCAGACATAAATTATTCACATTATGGGAGTGGGTTTGTGTGATTTAAAAGGAATATATTTTGAATTTATTATTAAATGAAATGATTAAATTACGTGAGACAATCGAGCCCATGTCTATACGTTGTTAAAGGTAAGTTTCTCTAAATTTGTTGTAATGTGCTATTGGGATTATTTTCCCACGTTTTCTTTAACTTGCTTTCGTCTCTGTCTTTCCAATCAAATCTTGCGATCGAAATTTCTGGCACTTCCCAGTTAGCTAGCGCGCTGAAATTTTCAGGGAAGCTTTGTTTTGGATGACAATAGAATATTAAATTGTTATTATTACTTAATTGATTACTAAATTTTATTAAGCATTTTAGACCGCTATATAATCTATCTATCTATATATATAATTCTCTTCTGGGAGCCGCTAGAAAACAAGCTGTAAACGCGCTCCCTACCTCCCCACCCCTACATGGTCTTAGTGAGCTGTGTTCACTCAAATGTTTACAAGCAGAGCCAACGATTTTAAACGTAAGGGGGAAGAGGGGGGGGGGGAAAGGAAGGGGGGGTTATGGTCCTTAACGAGCTACTTATAGTGTTTTAAAGAAATATTTTCAGTGGCAGCGTTGGTACTGACGAATTCACAAATTATGAATTACTGAAAAGTAGAAAATAAAACAACTAAATAGCGGCGTATGTTATGCCGCAGTCCGGCTCGTATATATAATTCTCCCCTGCGAGCCGTTAGAAAACAAGCTGCAAGCGCCTCCTTACAGTCCCCCCTCTTTCTCTCTATCACTATCACTACCACCCTACCCCACCCCCACATGGTCTGCTGAGCTGTGGTCACGTTAATGTTTACAAACCGTACAGCCAGGTTTAGTGACGGCTATTAGGGGCAGATAATTAAGTTTGAACCGACTTTAAACTTACAGGAGGTAACTAAGAGGAGGCTGCTTTCACGGGGGGGGGGGGGGGGGAGGGGTGTAGGGTCGGGGTTATGGGAAAGGAGGGGGTTAGTGTTTTAAAGCAAATATTTTCAGTGGCAGCATTGGTACTGTCGAATTCACAAATTATGAATTACTGAAAGTAGAAAATAAATCAACTAAATAGCGGCGTATGATACGCCGCGGGTCGGCTCGTTGTAGTAAAAACGTGGGGGAAAAGGGACATAACCCAGTAACTGTAATTTGTGTACAAACAACCGTAACAACTGGTGGCCAGTATGGGGGAGACGATATGGTCGAAATGTTGGGCACACGATTGCTATCCCACTCGACACGGGTTCAAATGTATGTGTTCTAGTCAGTAACGTATTCACACAACGTGTTTTTTACGAGTTGTCTTTTTACGAGTTGTCTTTTTACGAGTTGTCTTCGTTTACCCAAAAAAAAAGTGAAAAGATGCAATCGATAGCAAGATTTTAATGCAAACTAACAGACAAAGACTAAAAAGTAGAAAATAATAATCATTTAAAAAGTTTAAAAAAACCCACGTTTTCTGATTGAACTAAAAAGTAGAAAATAAATGCTATACATCACAATAATGCAAGCGATCACTCTACTATAAGCGATCAAAAACGTGGGGCGCCGTGATTTTCTTACAGTTTCTAATACTGTTGACTCTCTACAAGCTCCCTAATAAAAGTCAATAGTAATATAACTTTTACTTCGGCGCCCCACGTTTTTGATCGCTTATAGTAGAGTGATCGCTTGCATTATTGTGATGTATAGCATTTATTTTCTACTTTTTAGTTCAATCAGAAAACGTGGGTTTTTTAAAACTTTTTAAATGATTATTATTGTTTATTTGTTGGCAGTTTTTTCCACCAGCTCAAATTAAAATTGCTTTAACAGAATTAAATGGTCCGGTAAGAAGTAAAATATGCGACTATGTAAAATGTTTGTCAACACCAGTCTTTCTTCCAGACTTTTTTCTCCGGAGGGTGGGGGGGGGGGGGGGAAGGACTAAAATTTCCGGGGGAGGGGAGCGGACACTGTTAAAAGTATATATTTCATATTTAAATTCAATTTCGAAGAGATGCCTGGAATAAACGCTGGTCAACACTATAAAAATTGTGTGACGCGATGTTTAAATAGTTTATTATATAACAACTCTATGAAAATAGCAATCAATGAAAACGCTGTGCCTCAGCTACAAACATGATGGTTTTGACTTTTGTGAAGTGAATGGTTATTACGGGTAGGGTACGAGAGTATGTGTGTTGTGAATGGTTTTTGTATCAATAAAAGATGGTGTCATTGTGCCGCGGCAAGCAAGGTATGTGACGTCATAATGTAGTATCGTTGTTTCAGGGGAAGAAAAATAGGGCAGTCTGCGTCTTGTCGTGCTATCATACAGGTGTATTCGCTGCGTCTTCGGGAATGTAGTCAAGTCTCCGTTAAGTTTGTGAAAGTCGTCCGAGTCTAATGACTGTGATGTAGTGCAATAAACCATACAATAAAAACTATTCGGTTCTGTGAATTTGTTTGTATTTGATTAGTTTGGGATAAAGAATCAAAACTCTGTGTATATCCAGTAATGTTACAAAAGTGCCGACATTAAGACTCAGCTACAAACTTTCTACCATCATTAAATATCAGCTACAAACGTGGCATTCATACCGACGTTTCTCTTCATTACTATCGTTTTTCTGTAGTACCACTACAAAACATTAAGACTATCAACGATAACAAAATGAAAGAAATCCTTGGAATCTCATAAAACTTTATTGACATAAAAATAAAACAATAGACTTTAATACAAAAAGCATAATGGTGTAAGAAATAAAGTAATTACAAGTTGGCACACAATAAAATGAAATTACTTAGAGGTTTTAGCATAACACTCACACACATACACTCACACATGAGTAGACAATTGGAGAGAACCAACAGAGAAAAACAGCTGGATCATCACAACAACACACCATCCTCCCCACAATAATTTCCTACAGAGTTTGATCCACTGTGGGGATGTCTCCACCCCCAGCCATACATCGGTATGTAGACATGTGCTCCACTGGAGCCAGGACATGTACATGTTGTGTACGTGTACTTTGTGTACAATCCTTCCCTCTCATGTCTGTGTGTCCATTGTCCTACAGAGACCTGTTTTAGACATCCATGAGGATGAGACACTATAAAGGCCAACTTGTCCACATCACCAAATCTCTTGTATTTGGACTTAACTTTCCCTCGTAGAAATTGAAGCGCCGCCTCATCTTGTCCAGTTCATCAACCAATTCTAAGTCACATGACACACACGTAAACCTACATCGGTCTCCATAAATGTCTGCCCACCTCACCTTATAGCCGTCAAGACTGACCCCTGGACTATTTTCGTCATCATAACCTACAACACACCTGGTCTGTCTCGCCTCACTGTCATCAAACACCACGTGTGTGGCTGTCCTCACATGAACCTCCCACCACACTTTGCTGGATGTGTCCGAGTGTTGACACTTGCCACATGTACAAGTGCCCTTGTTGTCACTCTCTGTGTACTTGACCACATCATGCACCCTACCGGTCCCTGTCCTCAACACGTCACTTCCTCTGGTGTTATAAAATGGATACTGACCACTGAAGCATGGAACAGACTTTGGTCTCTCTAGACTGGTGTACTTGACCTTTATCAGGACCGTTATGGCAGACAATGTTTTGATTACCTCCAACATGATTACGTCACGGTAACGTGAGGGGAGATGATCCAAGCTAAAATCATCAACAGGTATAAAATTGACATGACCTGGATTCTTCTTACAGTTGATATAGTGCTTGTGTAAGTCAGCTTCACCTCCATAGCAGATCTCAGCTTCATGATGTCCTGGGGACAACACAGCCAACATTTAAAGAATACTTTTTTACAAATAATATTAACAGAGATAGCCAAAATAGTAAAATCAGTATTATCAGCAATTTAAATGTGTTCATTAACTATAATCAAAATGTGCTTGCTATTTAACATAATTTGGATAAAATCCTATCATTTTTGTTTTGCAAATGTTGAAATAAAAATCTTATAATTAAACATTTTATTTTCTTACCTGGGACAAAGTGGGATTTTTTTTCTACTGTATCCATTTTTAGATATTTTGATGTTATTATTTTCTGACAAAGAAACGTCAATTTAAATACATACGTTAAGAATTTACGAGCTGTTGCTTAAAGAATGGTAATAAATAACTTTTCGATAAATTTCCGGTATTTATATTTTAAAATGTGTTATATTTTCCTGCTTTTATTTTACTAAATGAGTTAATGTCACAGTGTGGGTAATGTTAGTAGGCCCTATTTGAACATTGTAAATTAATCAGCACGGCCCAATAACTCTTAATTCTATTTTAAATTTCATTTTAAATGTTATATTATTTAATCTCAGCATTAGAAAATAATAAATATTGTGTCTATACACCTCCTATATATATATATATATATATATATATATATATATATATATATATATATATATATATATATATATATATAATATTTATGATATTTATGCACTATATAAATAGAGGCTGCAAAAAATAATTAAGATTTTTTGTTGATAGTCTGTAACGATAGCAGATTTCTGTAAAGCTGTCTTACACATTGGAGGTCACTCAATATTCGCGTACCTTAGGTGATATTTAAAAAAGAAACCGTTGTTTCTAAACATTTTTAAAATAAGCTATGTCAACATGTTATATACAACTTATCAATAGAAAAAGCTTGACACAGTTTGGTTACTGCTGTCATCTTCTTCCCATTTCAGTCTCTATCCGTTTATTTTTAGATATTAATTTTTCCATCAGAAACTTCCTTGTCTTTTTGGGTAAAGGGCTAAAGACATTTTAAAAATTTCAACTCAATCATGTAACGTGGATGACAAAATTGTATTAGTGTGTAAAATATATAAATATATTGTGACCCTCGATTATACATGAAAAGAAGATTATAAATGCGTAAAATAGAAACTTTTTTGTTTTAAATATAGTTAAAATTTACATTCCCATTTAAATAAAACCCATTAGCAGTTAAAATAAACTTCCACTCAAAAGTATACTAAATTAATAATTTAAATACAAATCTTGAAACGTTATCTTCAAATTTGGCCAACAACAATTAATCATGGAGCACTTACTTTAAATTTGCCTTTCAGTGCCCAGGAATGTTAAATACGTATGTAAGCCTACATTGCTACAGTAGTGAAACACTTCCTGTCCTGTTAACCCTATATTATGGCTACAGTATGCTAAATAGGGTTAGGGTGACGAAACTCCGGCTTGTACACCCAACCATCCGAACCTACAGCCTTTTTTATACAATAATTAGAGCGTAACCCAAGATATAACAAGTGTGCTATTGGTTTGACAATGTTATGAATTAGGTGGCAACATCTCAAGGGAAAACTTAACGAAACAATTATTTTCTGAAAGTCGGTTTACATTATGACAATATTATTGATGTCAGTAACGGCTATGGTTTGATTTAGGGTTACATTATGGGTCAAACCAAAAGAATATATTCATGATAATATTTAAAACTTTAAGTGATATATAGTATAGTGTTAGGGTTTTATTTTAGGGCTAAAGTTCGTTAAATGTAACTCCGAGGGGTAGAGGAGCAGATTTGTGCTTCATTAATTTACAAAAAATATAATACAAGTATTTAAAAAAAATCTCCATGAGAGCGTCTTTTAAATTAAGTTTAACATATAGGATCTAGTGCGGCTAAATGTTGGTCAAAAGTGGCGTCAAATGCTGAAATTGGTGAAGTAGATATTGATAATTTCAATCTGCGTGTCTTCTTAATGAAAACTGTAGGGTACCTACACATTTAGTGGGAAGCTTGGTACGGATTGTGATTGTTCAAGCTTACAACTAACTGTGATAATATTATCAGATAGTTTGTATCTGATCAGCTCTTTTATAACTTGATATAGGGCTGGTAAGTAGGTCACCAACCAGTTCTATGGCTCATGCAGGTTCTATTGAGCCATAGAACTGGTTGGTGACCTACTTACCAGCCCTATACCCGTTACGTGTTAGCGGATACGGTGTTAGTTGGCCGTATGTGTGTTTTTAACTTTCCACTATTTATATGGAGTATAGTCTGCAGTATAGTGGGTTGTTTACTCTATTGTGTTATAGTCTGAAGTATAGTGTGTTGTTTACTCTATTGTGTGTTGATAGCTCTCTGTATGTTGGGTTCATAGATATACGTTAATTCTACTTCAATTAACCTTAAAACATATTTTATTCCCATTAATGTTTTGTGGATATGAAACAGAAGGTTTGAATTTTTGGAAGTTAAATGTGAAACAATATATATTTAGTTACTATAAAGCATTAGTAAGACAAAACAAATATTTAACTAAGTAGTGATATTGTATAATATATTGAAAAGTTTTATACTAAGCGCGACAACTGCAAATAGCTTCTTGGATTTTCACTTTATTGATCAATTTCCTTAGACCACAATTTGGCTGGAGACTTATTCTATTATTGGAATTCCCCCAACATAATTAAGTATTACAAGACAAGATTGTTACGCCCCCTTTAATAGTCCTTTCGAAATTACTGTGGTTTCGTAAACAAGAACAAGAAACGAATAAACATAATTAGCAACTATTTCTACAGTTTAATGCTATGATAAAAATACAACAATTAACATTAACCGCCACATCTAACACAATGAGAAAATGCTTCTATTTACAGCTGAAATAAAAGGTCCTTAACGTGACTACCCTGCTTGTCTCTAACGGTCAATTCTAGTCTACGTCTACAGACATCCCGTGGCGCCACCAGCTCTCTGAAAGCGTCCCCGTTAGTCTACTATGTCTGAACATTCCGTCCACTGTCCTCAAATTGCACACACGATCCAACACAACAGTAACAGCAGCCAGTTCACTAATGAAGCACTAGCTACTGAACCTGTAGGAATACACCTGTAATAATGCGTTTATTGTTTTATGTATAGAAATCTCATCCAGGCGAGACTGAAGTGCTGGGGGGGGGGGGGTGAATCTGGTCATGTGAGGTGTGTCTGGTCTATCTGTGTGAGCCGTAGGGTGGGGTTAGACTGCTCACTCTCTGCTTGGTGTCTCTGCTGTGTACATGACATAATCTCCATTTGTACACTTTGATGTACACATGAGAGACTGACAGCCATAAAATATCTTGTGTAAAATAGCTTTTGAAGAAGTTCACAGTGTGGTGTACAGCTGATATGGACTTGTTTGTTTTTTTAGAACAAAAGTGTCAAATATGAAATGAAGAATTTCAAATCCCTCGCACTAAATGAAGATACAACTCTGTTTTTGCCAGTATTATGTTTTAGTCTACAGAGTGGGTACAAAATGTTGAGTTAAATAAAGGGAAGTACAAAGTTAGATGTTTCTCTTTAAGTACGTCAATTATTGAGGCGTACTTAGAAAAATGTTTTATTTTTTTATTGCATAAAAATTGGAACAAAATGTACATCTAATTATAAAAAAGTAATAAAATTAAATGTAATAATGTAACTAATTACCAAAGATAATTAACAAAGATAAAGTAATGTATCAAAGATAAGACAACTGAATGGGTTAGTTTGTTTGTGAAATGATTATAACTGTTATCATGTATTTTAACGAGGTGAGAAAAAAGAGCGGTTATAGTCCTGCGCTCTGGTCTATTTATTTTCATGTGATTAGTTGAGCTTTTATTTTTTTTTTCAAAATGGTTTTTATGTGTGCTGTTTCAAAACTCCTGTTTCATCTGTGTGCTATGTGTGTGTACATTCAGTCACATCTTTTCATGTACTAAGCTGTTTGTGTGTACATAGTCCTCCAGTGTACAAGCTCAATGTGTACAATCTGAAGTAGAGGTTGGAGTGAGGGCTCTTTAATTACATGTAAATACATCTCTCTCTGATCACTGGAAGGTGGGGGACTGCCTGAATGGGTTCTTTTAGCTTCTGGCTTTGAGCTAAAGCTGCCCCTAACTCTGAGCTAAAACTGTATCCAGCTGTGAGCTAAAGCAGCCCATTACTGAGCTTAAGCTGCTCCTGAGCTAAAACTGCCCCCAACTGTGAGCTAAACCTGCCCCCAGCTGTGAGCTAAAGCAGCCCAGTCAGTGCCCCCAGCTGTGTCAACCTGCCTAGTGAAGTGAATGTTGAGAGAGGCCAGCTCATGTGATACTTGTTAACATGGCATAATCAATCATTTCTTGGCAATATGATGTTCTAGCAAGTCATGTTTTTACCCACCGTTTTGTTCCTTGATGGTCTCTTGTTCTTTTGTCCACTACTATGTTGGTCATTTGTCCTTAACTGTGATGGTCATTTGCCCACTACTGTGTTGGTCATTTGTCCACTACTGTGTTGGTCATTTGTCCTCTACTGTGTTGGTCATTTGTCCTCTACTGTGTTGGTCATTTGTCCACTACTGTGTTGGTCATTTGTCCACTACTGTGTTGGTCATTTGTCCACCACTGTGTTGGTCATTTGTCCACCACTGTGTTGGTCATTTGTCCATTACTGTATTGGTCATTTGTCCACTACTGTGTTGGTCATTTGTCCACTACTGTGTTGGTCATTTGTCCACTACCATGTTGGTCATTTGTCCACTACTGTGTTGGTCATTTGTCCACTACCATGTTGGTCATTTGTCCACTACTGTGTTGGTCATTTGTCCATACTGCATGCCATGTACACAGGATATTTTCTGTTTTCTTCATGTAAGACATTAGCACTGTATTTATCATCCTCATAGAGAAGACTTTAGTAGCCCATACTGTTCATGTTTGTTTTAGTCATTTTTTAACTACACAATTAGTACCAAAACATTGTGATAAAGTATTTCATTTCATATAAGAGTTCTCTTGTTTTTTTAATATCTGCTTGTGGTCAATTGTCTAAGCTGGTCTGAAGTATGTTGCCTTGACCTTCAAACTTGGTCATGTGACAACCAATTTTCTCTTTCTTTCCATGCCGTGCTAGAGTGTATATTAGCATAACTCATTCAAATGTATATTATTGCCTAACGCTTTGTTAGATTAACCTCCCTTATGTTATAAATTAACTCCCTTACAACTGAGTTACTGTACCTATCAGAGGATATCTTTTATATTTATGCC